ATCAAGCCCATTCCCAAGGTCATCACCTTCCAGAGCGACATCACCACAGAACAATGCCGCGCGACTATCAGGAAACACCTCAAGACATGGAAGGCTGACACGGTCCTTCACGACGGAGCGCCCAACGTCGGTACGGCCTGGGTACAGGACTCGTTCAACCAGGCGGAGCTGGTCTTACAATCCATGAAGTTGGCTACCGATTTCCTCGTCGAGGGTGGTACCTTCGTCACCAAGGTCTTCCGCTCAAAGGACTACAACTCCCTGCTCTGGGTCTTCAACCAGCTCTTCACCAAGGTCGAGGCAACCAAGCCGCCCTCGTCTCGAAACGTCTCCGCCGAAATCTTCGTCGTGTGCCGCGGCTTCAAAGCTCCTAAGCACATCGACCCCAAGTTCCTCGACCCCCGCGCCGTATTCGAAGAGCTCGCCGCACCCACCCCTAACAACGAGGCCAAGGTCTACAATCCCGAGGTCAAGAAGCGCAAGAGAGACGGTTACGAAGAGGGCGATTGGACCCAGTTCAAGGAGGTCCCTGCCTCCGAATTCATCCAGACCACAGATCCTATTGCTATTCTAGGAAGCAAGAACCGCCTGCATTTCGACCAATCGAGGAACGGGGATGTAGCCCTCGCAGCACTGAACAAGCTGCCTGAGACGACAGACGAGATCCGTCGGTGCTGCGACGATTTGAAGATCCTCGGCAAGAAGGAGTTCAAGCTGCTGCTGAAATGGCGACTCAAGGTCCGTGAGAAGTTTGGCTTCCCCACCAAGAAGAGCAAGCAGGAACCCGAACTTGCCGAGGAGACGGCAGAGGTTGAAGACATGGACGAGGAGATGAGGATACAGGAGGAGCTGCAGGCACTCAAGGACAAGGAAGGCACAAGAAAGAAGAAGGAAAGGCGCAAGGAGAACGAACAGCGCCAGAAGGACATAGTGCGCATGCAGCTCAACATGACAGCACCCATGGATATCGGTATGGAAGAGCGAGGGCCAATGGGCGAGGACGCCATGTTCCAGCTCAAGGCGGTCGACAAGGCGGGGGCCCTGGGCAGGATATCAAAGGGGAAGATGGTCAAATTGAGCGAGCAGGATGCGAGAAAAGACCGAGACAGCGGCCTGGGCACCTCACCAGACTCGGACGAGGACAGCGATGAGGAGGAGGATAGGCTCGAGCGGGAGCTTGACGGCATGTACGATGCCTACAAGGAGCGCAAAGCGGCAACGGATGCAAAGTACCGAGCCAAGCGGTCAAAGAAAGAGCACGATGATGACGAATGGGAGGGTGTGTCTGCCGACGAGAAAGAAGCCAGCGACGAGGAGAGTGAGCTGGACGAAGACAGCGACGAGGACTCTGATGCCGACGAAGACGGCACTTCTGGCCAGAAAACTCTCTTGACAGATCTTGAAAAGGATACGGCAGACTCGTCGGGGCTGTCAAAACGCGCTAGAGCCTTTTTCAACCAGGACTTGTTCAAGGACTTGGAAGGTCTGTTGGACGAGCCTGAGGACGAGCCAGCCAAGAAGGGGAAGGCCGAGGAGGCGGATGTCGACATGGTCGACGAAGTCTCTTCGGATGAGGACACGCCAGCGACTGGATCCAAACCGAAAACGCCGGTAGCTGTTGATGCGTACGAGTATGAAGGCGAAGTATCTGATGAGGTCAAGTCCGCCAAGCAGAAGGAGGTCGGGCAAGATGAGGAAGAGGAGAGCGACTGGGAAGAGGAGGAGAGGCGCGAAAGGCGCGAGCGCGACAACAGGCCAGGTAGGCTTCCGCTCTGGGTCCTGCTCTTGAGGCAATCGCTCACCGTGGTCGACACGTGCTGACATTGAGTTTACAGAAATTGACATCATAACGGCCGAGGCAATGACCCTGGCGCACGAGCTCGCGACGGGCAAGAAGTCGAGCCACGACCTGATGGACGATGGGTTCAACAAGCACGCGTTCAGGGCGGACCGGGACGGGCTTCCAGACTGGTTCACGGAGGACGAGTCACGGCACGACCGGCAGCAGAAGCCCATTACCAAAGCTGCGGCTGCGGCGATCAAGGAGAAGCTGCGGGCATATAACGCGCGGCCGATCAAGAAGGTGCGCGAGGCTAAGGCGCGCAAGAAGCTCAGGGCAGCGGACCGGCTGGAGAAGCTCAAGAAGAAGAGCGACGTGCTGGCGGCGTCCGAGGGCATGACGGAGAAGGAGAAGGCCGACAGCATCTCCAAGCTAATCTCCAAGGCCAACAAGAAGGTGCGCCGACCGCCGGTCAAGGTGGTGGTGGCCAGGGGCGCGAACAAGGGCAAGGGCAGGCCCAAGGGCGTCAAGGGCAGATACAAGATGGTCGACTCGAGGATGAAGAAGGAGATGCGGGCACTGAAGAGGAAAGCGAAGGCAAAGAAGTAGCGGATGTTGTCTCGTTCTGGCCTGGATAGGGATGGCAGATATACCCCCAAATTAGATGCAGTATACTATGAAGAGAGGCTGGGATCTGGCCTGGTATGGCCAGCAAGCAGTCTGAATATGTGTCTGGAAACCAGAGGGCTGGCTGCACTACAAAATACGACGTCGCATTGATGAGCTTGGCTCGGCCATGCACCCGATCTGCCAGCTTGATCCGCCAGAAATTATTCATGGTAAGCTAACCAAGTTGACCAGACACGAAATTCGCAGGTAAAAGAAGACAAGAAAATCGGCTGGGTGGGAGCGGGAGAAATGACAGATACGCTCTTCTCGAACCTTCTCGCGGGACGGGCGGAGCGACCGTTTCTGGTGCGGTGCGGTTCGGCGTGGGACACAAAGAGCTGCGCTGGCCTTTGGAGCAACCAACCTAGTGGCGACGTCGTCACCCAAGTCTGCCTCCCATCTCTGGAGGATAAAACAAGCGACAAAACCACCAGCTCAGCATCGTCACTCAGGGCCTCCACTCGGTCCGGTTGGCTTTGTGGTCACTCGGGCACAGGTCGAGCTAGCCACGAGGGGTGGGGCAGGGTCTCTAGATCTCCAGGTCTCGTCCTCACTGCTTGTTTCTCTTCTTCTCGTCTGCCACCTCAACGCCGCGCAGCACACCACATCATCATCATCACCACCACAGAAGCCACCGCATACCACATACCGCATAGTCGTACACCACGGCAGACAACAGCATGCCAGGGTCAACAGACCTCCTCCTCCGCCGCGTCACCTCGGTGGCGCTGGCCGTCTTCTTCTTTTCCGTGTCGTCAGGCCGCTTCGCCCCCGTCTCGTGGCTCACCCAGTCCGACTGGGTCACGGTTCTGGACGGGCCCTGCCTGGCCGACCGGGTCATCTCCCCCGTGCTGCTTGGCGGCGCCGCCATCCTGCACTGGTACATCGCCTCTCAGCGCACCGTCCTCCCGCTGACCATCACCATCCCGAACCCGGGCCACGACGTCGCCCGCGGAGCTGCCCCTGCCGCCACCGCCACCGCCAACACCCTCGTGCTCGGCCTGTGGCGGCCGGCATACTATTGGGCCCTGGCTGTCGCCGAAGCCGCCCTTCTGTACGCCGTCGCCTCCGCCAGCGCCAGCGTCTTCGCCACGAGATGCGTCATCGTCGCGCTCCTGACCGGGGTCTGGGTCCTCGGCTGGAACGCCCTGCCTTGGTACCGCAAGGAGCAGGCCTGGGCCATGATGAAGGAGTACGTCTTGCAGCTCATCATCATGGAGATGGTGAATATGGCCTTTGGGGGTGGGTCGGACCGGAGGAGGAGACGGAGGAGGTTCTAGGGATGAGCCCCACTGGCTCGGCCCGGCTTTCTCTTTGGGCCTTTGGACGTCTATTTGGCTCGAATTATGTGTGCATTACTGGAATGGCTACGGCTCAGAGGCATTCATCCAGGTTATGATCCGGACAAGCTCGGTATGCCTTGCCATTCGACTCCGAGCCACCAGCACCGTTAGAAAACTAAATCCACTATCTTCAGCGTTAAAGTCGCTAACACTTATATACATACCATGACACCCTGTATGATCTTGGCAAACGCCAGTGCCTTTATTTTATGGACTATAAGACTCCAGTTGCTATGTCAATTATAGGTCCGAGATAACGGGAATCTAGTAACTAAAGCAATATATTTGACATGGTTCTTTCTGGTATGTCTTATCACAGATCACTCATTTAGTCTACCACATCAGCAAGTCGAACCTATAGGTTGTTCTCACCACACACGGCCGCAGCAGGTGTATTAAAATTTGTTGCAGACCATGTGGTAGTCGCTGGTGGATCTCTCTTGACTCATGATTGTAGCAATGGGCTTAGGAGTCCAAGCATTGCCTATGCGGCATTATATTATGTCCTTACATGCTACGCAAGTGCACACTTAGGTACGCTTCTATTCGTCAGAAGTACCAACTTATTCCTTGAAAATAACATTCATCCCGCTGATCAAGGCGCTGGAATATTGTTACACCTCAGTATTCTCTCTGAAACCACTATTGTCTCGCATCATATAAGCCTATAAAGCTGCTAATTAGGATTGCAGACAGTACGAGCAGCATGTCTGCTACGTGGCCACGTTCTCCCAGCAAACTCTTAGAAGACAATTACCTAACCTCCTCGAACACAACCTCCTAGTGGCTAAGCTCTCATGAACCTGTCATAGGTTAGCCTCCTGAGGCTTACCTCCCAAGGTTTGGTCCCTTAAGGGGTTCTCCAGATAGACGAGGTATAGAAAATGTCTAAACAAATCACAGTTAGAGCTCCAGGGCTATGATATCACATTAGACAGCCTCTTGAAGGTGTGCGTATTTTGCGGCAATGATGTAATTACATGGAGTGAAGGCGAGTGAGTGGAGCGGAGACGGGGAGTCTAAATTTTGATTTTCGAAGGTGTAACAGAACAAAGGTTCAACGAGGTGGCCAAGATCGCAGCTAGACATGCGGGAAGATTACTGCTTGGTTTCATTCCACCACTAAGCCGAGGGACTACATCTGAAACACGGCTCACTGCTGAAAGGCAGGCTATGTGGCATTAGACTTAGAATGGGTAGTAAATCCGGATGTGATGGGATGTCGAGGAGTAACCAACAACAGCAATCACTCTTTCACGGGTTACATTATCGCAGTCCCGCCCACTTCAACGAAAGTGAAGTAGTCTAATGACACAAGGTCGATCCGGTCTGCAACATCATTTCAACATCTCCTTCTCTAGGCTTACCTCCTATCCTGACCTTGAAGCAAAAGTTCTTGTGGTTTTGCAATTTTGTATTCTAACCTGTCCAAAAACGTTCAGTCAGTCCATCAGAATTTCGACTCAAGAGATCTGTGCCCTCGTCTATTGCCTTTATTGTGTGGTTTCGCTTCTATTCCGTATACGTCCGAGGACATGCATGGCGCCTTCATACGGTGTTGCCTTTATTGTCTACGCAGTATCGGGGTGATGATGGCCAGTCAATCCAAGCCTGAGGAAGGAAGCCTCGTCCATACACTCTGACCTCGAGCTTTCTCATGGTACTTCCCGTTAGTAAAATCCATGGATATGCACTCCACGGCTCGCGAGCGACGCTTATTTCAGACCACTGACGCAACGTCCGGAAAGAGATTTGTAGACTCCGACCTTCACATCATCACCGTGACCAACTCCTCCTCGTCTGCCATTAGATCTACGCTGAGACGTTGCCTCTCTAGTGGTCCTCGACATTCATCGACAGCGACCTGCGCTCACCTTTCGAAGAGGCCAGCTTTGGGGAGGTCCCGCACACGATCCCATTCCTCGCCCAACCTTTGACCAGAGAGATTCGCTGCGACGGTTTTCGAGGGGTCATTGATCTCAACCTGAACCAACTCGTTGGCCTCTTCGCCAAGATTGATGTTCTTTTGATGAAGCCCGCTTCTCTCTTCGTCTCTTGCCGCTTCTACTGGGACAGCATATGGTCCGACGACTTCGTGATCAACCGAGCGCAGGACAACCAGCGCCTGACATTTCCCACCTTCGGGTCGAACGCCGCCAACAGGGCCCAGATCCTGCAGAAGGTGAAATTTCCCTTGATGGTACTATTGAGGAACAACACGCCAGTCCTGTTGAGCGCCAGGAACAGAGATAACCCTGCCAAGGTGCGTCCTTGGAGATAGTTCGTCGCTTCATGCTGGGATATGTCTGACTTTTGAAACCCCAAACAGGTCTTCTTCATCAGCTACTTGAAAGCCCATGTTCCCGAGGGTGAATTTGACACGCCAGTTGCGGTCGAGTTTCAGAAGGTCACGTAAGGCTTACCATCCTGATACTTTGGACGCCATTTGGGTGGAAGCAGGTGCTGGAGCGCCAAGCCTCATATCCAGGTCTCTGGAAACTCGCCTAACTGGTTTCGCTTCTAATCCGTGTACGTCCGAGGACATAAATGCTTAGAGTATAAAAGGAGCCGATACATCCTGAAAGCCGGGATAATGTGACGTGGAATATTCCGGTTGATCAGTCTGATCTGATACTCGTACACTAAGTAAGTACCTAGGCTTGAGAGACACACTATTTACCCGACCTCGGGCCGGGACTTATGCTTATCGCACCGTCTGGCACACATGACCGAAGCTATACTATGTCAATAGTACGAATACGTGCAGGTGTCTTCGCCCGAACATGCAAACTACAAATAATAAGATTTCCTGCGGATGCAGGCAGTAGTATGAGGGCTAGTACGCACCACGGAGTATTCCGTTGAAATCGACCTTCCATATAGATCATCGTCCCCGCGTTGCGGGGCACTCGCCTCCGGGAATAATTAGGCTAAATTGTGCATGTCTGAAGCTCTTTCCTGGACTTACTTCCGATAATTGAATCACATTGCAAGTGACGTGTCAAGGAGTAGCTCTATACATTTTCCGTCACCAAGGACGTTAAAATAACGTCCCCGGCCCACATTCCGACAATACCCTAATTCTAACCACCCACTTTTTAGTATAAACATATTATTAAGATACCCACTTTTTAACCCCCTCTATTAAATCTAAAAAAAATTTTAAAACCTTAACTTTAAGTTTTTTATATATTATTTTAATTTCAATTTTATATAAAAATATTAAATTAAATTAATTATTACTTTAATATTTTTAAAAAAAATTTAAAAGTTAAAACTTTTAAAATATTAAAAATTACTAATAAAATAGTAAATATTTATAATAAAACTAATATTAACTTTTATTAATTATATATTATTATTATATTTTATATAAAATTTTATTTGTATATTAAAAATATTAAATAATATAAAATTTAATTTTATTTAATTATATTAATTTTTAATTAAAATATAAATATTTTTATAATTTCTTTAAAAAATTATTATAAAAATAAAAACTTAAAATTAAAAATATTATTAATATTTATTAAATAAAACTCTTATAAATTTTAATAATAATAATATTAATTAAAGTTTTTTAAAAAAAAGTAAAATTATAATTAATTTATTTAATTAATTATAATTAAAATTAATTATAATAAGAAATATTAGTATTAATATATAAAATTCTATATATTTTTTAATATTTTAAAATACCTTAACTTTAAAATTCTTTTTAAAAATATTAAGGTATAAAAATGAATTTTTATATATTTTTATATAATATTAGAGCTAAAATGCTAGTTTTAAAATTTAACGTTAAAATTATAGGATTTTATTTAGATTTAATAAGGGGGGGTAGAAAAGTAGGAGTTTATATAGAAAAGGCGGTTGGAATCGGGGGGTGGTCGGAATCTAGGCCGCCCATGTTAGTCGGCATTCACATATTTATCTCCTCTCTGTGGCTTCTTACTAGGTATGGAGACCTGATGGTTTATATGTACCTGCCCTAGGTACATAGATACTTAAGTGTAGAACCAGCCTTCCCCTTCAGCCCTTCAGAGCAGGTATCTGGATTCTCTGGCCAAGTAGCAACTTGTCTTTGGATGGGCATGACTTCCAGCTCTACCAAAGTACTGCTCCTCCGTAAAACCCTTGGTTCAATGACGGCATGTGTGTGCATCAGACACTGTAAAAATGACAACTTTCTATTTGTTGGGTACTTGGAGCATCATCATGTACCAATATGTATTAGCAACTAACTATTTAATTTTAATGCCAAAACAAAAGTTGCTTACAGTTTTAATACTTTTCAAAGTGTGCAATACTTGTACTCCACAGTCGCTCCAGGTGCCAGAAATGTGTCAAATGCTGTGAATGGGTCTCTTATGGTCCTGAAAAACTTGGAAAAGCTGACATCCCACGTCATACTCTGCCTCCATGGATAATCCAAACGAGCAAAAATTGTTCAGCGAGTTGAACTAAGTCTTGCTCGTTGAGTTGCCGACAGGTTCTCATCATGAATGTGACCCCTACAGCTTCCATGCGAGCCCATGCACAATAGAACTAATTCCGGAATTGTTGCTGCCATGCTCGTGCCAGCAGGGGGGGTTGCAATATTATTTCCCATTTATTGGCTTGAATCATGAGTGAGTCGTACTGTCTCGGATCTTGAGCTTCGTCAAGACCCAAAAGAAATGGTTGTTTATGTAGAGTTGTTGCTGCGAGGCCCCTTGGTAGCGCTGAAGTTCGAGACCATGATCACGAACTTAACTGCTATCCCAGGCAGCCGCTTTGTTTCACCATCCAGTTTTGGAGTAGAATGACCAAACTAACGGGCTCTCTCTCATGGGTAGACCCAGGTAGTACTTGCCAAGTCTCTTTTCGTTTGCAAGGGCTTCCCAGTTCCGCGACAGAAGCTCAAGTAGCGTATTTCTAGCTATGTTCTATCGATTCCATCCCAGGGGAATGGGTGACTGACAGATTAGTCGCGGACCATTGCCTACTTACTTAAGTAAGTACGTAATGGAAGTTTTGGAAAGAAGACCTCTAAACTGGCTGAGCCAGATTTACACACGTGTGTACCCCGTAAGGATTCCGAGCTTGACTTATTATTACGGAAATGTCAGCCCACAAAATACCAGATTACTACCGTGGTACCCAGATCGCGGGAAGATCGACCGCTTATAGGATCTGTCCCAAATTCCAAGGTTGTACTGTGGAGCAGTACTACGTAGTATTCAGCCACGGCTGATCCACGGCTGTCCCAAGTAGACAGGGTCCCGGCAGAGCCTGGAATCACACGATATTCCGTGATAATTCTACTGACATATCGCTTCTCCCCGCCATGACCGCGGCCGGTTCGTAAATACTTGCTTTTGGGGTCGTGTTTCCACGTGGATCACCCCAGGGTACTCGGCCACCGTCCCCACCAGCCGGCTACAATCGCCTTGTTACAACCGAGGCTCCACTGCTCAAGGGGCCTCCGTACGGAGTAATCTGTAGTGTACCTTGCATATTTTGTCGTCCAACCACGGGCCGTCCCACCTCACCCCTCGTTCCCTGCAGGGCAGGTCGGATCCCGGCTGAATTGGCAGCATTGCCGATGTTGCCCTCGGCTACTGTACGTCAAGACTGGGACGCACGCACGGAGGTTGGGAAGAACTTGATCCCCTGGATTGCGTACACCTCCCACGGCGTCTTGCTGCAGTATCCCATGCAGTGCATGCAGTGGCTGGATTTCTGATGGGGCGTTATGCAACAACACATGGCCTTTTCCAATGTGGCCCAGCCAAACCCGGCCAAGGCATCCTGATACGGCAATGCACTCGCAATGCATGCACGCACACCACCTGGGCAGGCGAGCAGATTGGTGGACATTGCTGTTTTGTGTGCAGCTGCAGCGGCCGCGCTGACAAGACGTTCGCGGCACTTGAGGTGCCCGCAGGGCCGCAGGGGAAACAACGTGAGGGTGTCGACAAGAATGTCATGTGAGAAGCCAGAACGACTGAGCAAATGCAGCCTGGGCTGCAACAAATCGCTTACTGTACTTCTTGCCTTGCATGCCGGCGTACTTATCAAGTTGACACAGTTGATGTGACCGGCGCGTCCCTGGTATTTAACTTCGCAAATAGCGCCAGAGCTCCAGAATATTGACTACACTAGTTCCCTGGCGGAATATGCATTAAGCTTCGACCCCAGCAAGTTGGTGAAGGCCTTTCAGCGGGAGTCCGCTAGACTAGGTGTGCCTCATGCGTCCTTGGGAAGAAATCCACCAGTTCCGTCACGATCATGTTCCGACGGATTCCGAATTTGGTCCAGCTCTAGCAAACTATGGCCTCTGGTTCCCCAGCTCCACGGCAGGCATCTTGTCTCAACCCTTCAGCCCACTCATCTCATCCGAGCATGGAACAACATCTCGACGGGAATGTGGACCGGCCTACAAGCAGCTGGTGGCTCAGAGCACTTACAAGGCATGGTGCCTGTTTGGGTAACACCGGCCGATGCAACTCTTGAGAATCAGCAGCCATCTCCTTCCCGGATTGGCAGTCGATTTTGTGAATTAAGGCATCACCCTGGAACAGACTTCCCTTCTGGACCAAGTCGGGTCCACTCACCCATCCATCAGCCATGCATCTTCAGCATGCGTGTTCGACACAGACTCGCCTCAGAGGCACTGCCTTGCATCGAAATCTCAGAAATCGTTACGGTTTCATCACACCATTACGCCATTGGATGGGTTGTCAGATTGACCCAAGGGCCAGGGCGAGCCCTCGTTGTGGGACATCCCAGGCGAGGGATCATGCTTACCCATGTAATATGCCAACCGCCCCAGCTTCCTACCTTAAAGCTTGGGTTCCGAGGTTGTTCTCAGGGCCGGGGATCGCAGGAGAACATTCGCCACGAGGTAAAAAAGCTTAATCCCAGTGGAAGTCATCTCCCTGTACCTTTTTCGCTGCTTTTCGATATTACTCGGCAGACTCCCCCGGCCTCTGCTCATTCATGTTTGTTCGCTACCGAACTATTCGCAAGGGCTGAGGCTGACGGCTCACCGTGCTGTCGCTCGCGATGCCTGGCATCAACCAACTCCCAGCTGGGTCAGAAGGGGCAGCTGCCATATCGCTGATATGGGCTTCGGTCAGCTGGGTCTGCAGCAGCTTGTTACTGTGGCTGACATGGTCGCACCATGAAGGATGGTCTTGTTAGACAGCCCGTTTCCAATCCGGCTCATAACTGCCACCACAGGCATGTATGAGGTTTGATGCTAACTAAGACCGCTCCAACTTTCAGATCTCTCGCTGCTCGCTGTGTCATCCATCTCAAGCACAACCTTCTCCATAGTGCAACAAATACGCGATATCACGTTCTACGTCGACATAGTGACAGAGGGATTCGACCGCAAATTGAGACTCCCTGCCGATGACCCAGAACTTGCCATCGCCAATGGCTCTTTTGGTGTTGACCTGGTTCTCTATTATCTTCGTAGGGCTCCGTACTTTACACGCTGGGAGAAGTACCGCACTGACCACAAGTCTGCAGAATACTACCTCTACAGCGTGCAGGCGATGCTGGTCATGTTCTGGGCGGCTGAGCTGTGTCAGTTGACTTATCAAGTTGGAGAGCGACGTACGATTCGGATTATGTTTCGAAAGCTTCACACGGCGGGGAAATTGATCTCTTGGCTCTTTCCCCTGATGACTATCCTGATGCTACGAATCCCGTCCCTCAAGGAATCTTTTGTGGCTTTCATCCTCATCGCCGACTTGCCACGTCAGTCATTCCACCTGATAAAGGTATGAACATAAGGAGAATTAATGAGCTGATGGAGTGAGAACAGTGATGATCAGCCTTGCCATCGGCAGTGGGCTCATGATAGCAGTTCTAGTCAGATACGTCAGGACAAGACAGAAGTTTACACAATGGAGTCCGCCGAATTGGAACTCTGGGTCGACGTCGCAAGAGGGCACAGAGCCCGCCGGATCTCAAGACAGTTCACAACGGAATCTGTCAGGAAAGCGCGGCCTCTACGACCGGTGGCTAATGGTGCGCTTTACGATCGCTTTCGTCTCCCTAGCGTAAGGCCACACTCCCATCCCGTCCTCTTGCGCGCGAATATCTTGGTAGTACTAACTCTTATTTAGGGTCTTCGAATGCACTAATACACTCTTTCAGATTACCGCATTACAAAACAACATCAAGGACTCGAAAGCCTCCGCGCCGGACTTAAGTGCAGGGCGAGCAGTGCAAACGATGATCCTCTTCATGCCCGGCACAACACCGGGCATATTCTTATTCGTTGTTTTTGGGACCACCGCTTCGTCGAGAATGAAGCTCGCCAACCTGCTCATGCCGAGTTGCTGGCGCGAATCGTCAACATGCTGCTCTGGTCGCCGAAAGAGCTGTCCGTCCACACCTGAGCTGCTCAGATCGGGCGAAGGAGGTATAACCGTCAAACGCTCCCTCACGGTCACATCTACGACCCGGCTACGCCCGCATGATGACGATATTTCCGAACCCAGTATGATATCTATGGACGAATTCACGAGACGTTTGGACAGCTCAGTGCAAATATCGTGCATGAAACCGCTGCCTCTGGCCCCGGGGCTGCTGCCCACGTCGAGATTCAACATACCTACCAACAAAATGTCCAGCAAGGAAGGCACAACATCAGACGTGAGAGAGTTGACCTCAATTGAGGAAAAGGACAGCGCCAGAGGCGGGATATTGACGAGGACAAACACGGACGACTCGACCCGGGTGCCCGATATTCAAGTCCTGGGGACAGAGCATAGTGACGATTCTGGGCCCATCTTACCGATACAGGGCAACGAGGTGCGGCCTTCGAGAAGTATAGTGGCATTGAACGGGGAAGGTAGGCGGAATGGGGACGGGAAGTCCATGAGCTTTTTGAGACCGAGGCGATAAAGATTTCGTAGTATTGTTGCTGGCAGATAATGTGGCTGTAAATAAAGACGCAATGACGTGATTCTGGCTGCTTAAGAAGAATACTCAAGTACCTAGGTATGTACCCTTGGAACTCTCTTCGGGGAGATTGATTTACCGGCCCCAAAGAATGGTACATGATCTTGCACCCACCCGATTCGACAATGTCTGATGCTGCAGACAATTACGCTGCGACATCACGGGGCCATGGCACTATGCAAAAGTATCTGCATGGATACGATCAATCTGTCGCCAATTTAGATCAAGATCTACATTTAGCCTTACCAGAAACCCGGGCCGGGACACGGTATGGTAGGACCCTGAGCACCTTAACACGGACACAGAGCGTCCGCTATATTGCCCGAAGCGGAAATCCACCCAGCCTCCGATGTAACAGGTAATAACACCCATTGGAGCCATGCCGATGGCCCCTGGGCGAATATAGTTCTCGTGCAGCGTATTTTAAACTCAAAATCCTGCCAAGATCGAAGTGCTCTCGGCCTCAAAGACCAGCTTTCCCTCGTTAACATCAGAACTTGACCACGTTATCCGGCCTTGTATTTGTTGGTCGTTCCAAGATGATGTGTTCTACAAGAAGCTGGCTGGCGTCTCTATGCTTGTTGCCGGCAAATGTTCTCTGTGCGAATCTGTTGGTATCTCACTTCAGTGGCAGTGTTTACTCGCTCTCATTGACGACAAACAACGGAACAGGGCAGCTGGCAATCACATCTTCACTTCGAGCAGGTGGGCGCACGCCTAGCTGGCTAACACTGGACTCTGCGACTGGCCATCTCTATGTCACAGACGAAGCTCAATATGGCTCCCCAGTGCTCACCACGCTCAAGGTCAACAACGACAATAGCGTACAACTGGTCAGCACTGCGCCAACAAGCGGTGGTGGAGTCCACAGTACTCTCTATGGAGGCAATGATGGAACAAGCTTCTTCGCCGTGGCTGAATAGTAAGGCGCCTTAAGCATGATAACTTATTAGGATATCAGGACTTGGTGGTCCGCTAACTTTCAAACAGCAATCCATCGACAATATCGACCTACAAACTTCCCCTATCCGGAAGTTCTCAGCACATGCAGAGATTCGCATTCAACATGAGTGCCCCAGGGCCAGACCCCTACCGCCAGGATAAGCCCCACCCGCACTCAGTCTTCACAGACCCAACAGGCAGGTTCCTGCTGAGCGCGGACTTGGGCGCAGATCTGATCCGGATCTTCAGCATCGACGCCTCAACCGGCCAGCTCACAGCCTGTCCCGCCGCCGCGACGGGCCCCGGCGACGGGCCCCGGCATGGCGAGTTCTGGAAGTCACCCTCGGGGACCCTGTTCCTCTATATTGTCAACGAGCTCGCCGGATCCGTGACGGCGTGGACGGTGAAAAGCCCTCTCTTGGACGGGGCCGGCTGTCTCAGCCTCAGCAAGATCCAGTCGGTATCGACGTACCCGCAGGGCAAGAGCCCGCCAGCTGGTTCCAAGTCGGCCGAGGTCCGCGTGTCTGGGAACTTTTTGTATGCGACAAACCGAAACGACCAGTCATTTGGCAGCAAGCAGGACTCCGCGGCGACCTTTGCGATCGAGCTGTCCACGGGCAAGCTCACGTTCGTCGAGGCGACAAACACTCACTCGTACTTCCCGCGGACATTCGCTGTAAATAAAGCTGGCGATGCGGTGGCGTTTGGGGGCCAGACGTCATCGACTATCGTGGTCGTCGCCAGGGATGTGTCAACCGGGAAGATGGGCAATGTGCTCGCTCAACTGCAGGTTGGTGCGCCTGGGACGGTCAACAACGAGGACGGATTGAGCGCTGTGGTGTGGAATGAATAATACGTCTCAGTTGAGCGATCTCGAGTCGTGTGTTAACTCAGCCGGGGACAAATGTATTCCGCCCAGTCGAGGCATTTTAGAATGGTTTGCAAAGGTAGAGGTGTTTTCATTTTTATAGGTAGAACTAGGAATACAGCATATAGCTATACAATGTCTTGAGTGCTCACCACCGTATGAAGGCGCCATGTATGTCCTCGGACGTATACGGAATAGAAGCGAAACCACATAGCAGCATCAGAAGCTCGCTTAATTCAGGACATGTCTCTCTGGGTGAACAACTCACTTCGAAGTTGCAATGTACGATTCGCCTGTTACGTATATTTTTTTCTTTGATTATGGCGAGGGTTGCCACAAGTCGCCACGAGGCCTTACACGAGACTTGGCCCCGCAAACACCGTTCTTTACTAGCTTGGATTCCTCCAGTTCTGGATAATTCCAAAGACCAAGTTTGGCAAGGGTGCTTCGCCTTGGCCTAGTCAATAATGCCCTGCTGAGGCTGATTCTCACAATTCTCTGGCCGAGTGATGTATTACCAGACCTTGGAACAGCGAAGTCGCTACGAACGTAGCCCATGTGGAGTTGCATGAAGAGTAAGCAGTAGTCTAAGGAGACAAGTCTGCTGCCGTGATTCTGCCGAATCCTTCAGGATCAATTGAATCGAAGCCACCGCACAGCCTTTTTAAAGGCCAGTATCCGGGTGCACGTCTGCCGTTGAACACGATGACTTTCTGGGCGGCGATATTCAAAACAAAACCCGTTTTTCTCCCCTGCTCGGATGTGGCTGCTCGGGTGTGGTACGTCAAAGTGCATCACGATGGGCCGTCGAAGCGGTTAGCCAATGCAGGAGCCACCGCTTGGCCGGCTCGGCTGCTGTAATCAGGATCGGGCAGCGTTGGCAGTGGTGCCCTGTCAGCAGTGGCAGGCAGAGAGGCGGAGCCTCGGGAGAGGCGTTCTGTGGCCTACAGAGGTACTCTTGTCAAGGTCCATTGCGCCAGTCGTGGCTGGCCTGGGCAGTTTTGCTGGGCGGACCCTGGCCGGCATAAATCACTGCCTAAAACGGCGTGCTTGGCTCTCACGATCAGTGGCTATGGCCGAGAGGTGACAGAGGCAATGCAGTGCCTTCAGCGGATCAAGTGCGGAGTTGGGCTACTTTCTGGACTGGGGAAGGGATCCTTCGCGCGGAGCACGACAGGGATCTCGCGTCGATGCAGGTTGCAGGCGCCAGCTAGAGCGACAAAGATTGAACTCGACAAGTTGAAATAAGTATGGTTCAGGCGCCCTGGTTTCTTTAGGGGCACTTTCTCTCTTTTGGTTTTATATTTGCTCTTGGGGACTTGCTTATGCGTCATACTTGATTTGTGTTCTTCAGAATAATTACCTGCCTAGGTACTCATTTCTCATTTCTCGGTTGTCTGTTTGCATTGTCCAACTTAGAACCCCCAAGCAGATAATATCTCGCCGGGACAGCTCCCACATATCCCACCCAACACACCCAACATGGCCTCGCAACACGTTGTCGGCGACTCGCCGTTTCTCAAGCGCGTGCTGATCCCCTTCTGGGTCATCCGCATTATCATAATGCTTATCTACGCCGCCGTCTACGTCGCAGCGCTCGCTATCTACAGCACCCACAGCGACGAGGTCAACGACGCTCTCGAGGATGAGGGCTATGAACCGCTCTCTTCCGGCCCCGTCGTTGCCGTTATGATTGTCGTCTTGGTCATCGTGCTGGTTTGTCTTATGCTTGATGTTCTTTGTATCATCAAGCGCTCCAGGAGGACCCTCAGCCCGCGCTTCTTCCTCATCACCAATGTTATTCAGACCACCGTCTGGGTCGTGCTTATGGGCCTGTCTCTGGCTGGCTCAGTCGCCTCCGTGGCCAACATTATCATCCCTATTATCATCCTGTGGGTTTATCACCTCTGCTGTCAGCTTACCTGCCAGTCAAAACACCGCCTTTACTAACATGTCAATTTTACCCCGTGATCTAGTGCTTCCTTCATTGGCCTCCTCATCTACGCCAGCGTCATTTTCCACAAGTTGCGAAAGGGAACGCTGAACACTAGGAGCGCGCCCGCGGGAGCCGGCATGGAGCCTTACAGCCAGCCCACTGCGTACCCGAGCTACGACAACCAGCCGAAGGCCTCGTACGACCCCGGTGATGCCCCTGGTAACTATAACATGGACAACTACCGCCAGGCCTGAGCTACGGCGAAGAGCCCCGAGTGTGCACGCAGACGAGTAAACGTGGGCCTGCACCACTTTTATGGCAAGATACCTGGCATCCAGGCGTCTTGGAGTCAATTGTGCGACCTGTCATCTTTGTCCCTTTTTTTTTCTTTGCTTGCTTGTTTTGGGTCCTGCTTTTGGATAATGAAGCGGGGGCCGTAGCCCCAGGATGATAATTACGTGCATGGAGTGGCGTCCACGGGGCAACATAGAAAGATACCAGCAGTCGCTCTGAATTCATTCTTCCCGTGTACAGCACAAATCGTACATATGTGGCGGTACTTCCGTGACCTTCACCAATGCCGTGCTCTGACAGCTCATGCCAAAGGACGAGTGCAAGTCTTGAAGACTCGGCCGCCGACCCCGTCCACCAATGGTCCCGGAGAGCCTTCACCACCGTGGCCATACTGGCCAGTCGGGATCTCTCGCAAGCTGCAGCTGCGCCAAATGAATTTTTGCCTCCTCGGGGTCATCGAACTCCCTCAGCGCAGCCACGGCCTTCCCGTCGTCGCCGGGCTTGACAAAATAAGGCCCATCAACCTCACACTGCGTGTACCCCTCAGGCAGCGTTCCGTTGTACAGAAACGCCCTCACATGCTTGGCAAGGCACGTCGACGTCACAGCCACGGAGCAGTGGCCATATCCTTTGACCTCGACAATGCGCGAGCGCGCAAACGCGTCGTTGGCCGACCGCGCAGACACAAGCGGGCAGACGGGGTCATAGGTGGTGGAGAGAATCAGCAGCGGGTGGGCGGTCTCGACGCCTCGGCGCGGGACATACGTGTGCGTCTGCGGGATCCGCCACTGCTGCTCTGCGAAGAAGCCGCTGTACATGGCCGGGCCGAAGAGGCTCGAGTTGAAGACCGGCGCGATGATGTCCATCGCCGATTCGCGGTCCTGGGGCCAGTGTTTGGGGCCAGACGGCATGTCATTGTTTGTTACGAACGCCAGGGCGTCGCCATCCAGCGCGAACGGGTCGCCGCCTCCGTAGGCCAGAAACGCCTCAGTTGCGTTGCCCTGGAGCAGCTTGGCGAGCTTGTCCGCAAGGGGCCACCAGTTGGCCGGCTTGTAGAGGACGGGGAAGATGCCATCGAAGAGGATCTTGGCGTGGTCGAGCAAGCCGTACTGGGTGCTGTTGATGTACACGCTTAGCGGCTCCTCGTAGACGCTATCAACCAAGCCCAAGACCTTGTCGTACAGCTCATCAGCCGTGTCGGCAACCGACAACAGCGGGCAATCTTTGCCCGCCTTGACACATTCGCTGAAGAACCCCTCGAGCACCTTGTTGGTGTCAGACAGATCCTCGGTGCTGGCGAGCTCCTGGTACCAGTCAAACTGGTTGACGACACCGTCAATGATGACACGATGAGATCGCTCCGGGAACAGGCCAGCGTAGGTCTGTCCTAGGAGTGTACCGTAGCTGAAACCCCAGTACACCATGTCTTTTTGGCCGACAGCATCGAGTATGCTGTTCATGTCAGCCGCGGTCTGGGGCGTGTTGATGTACAGGCCATGCTCGCCCATGGTATCAGCACAAGCACGGACAAAGTTGTGCGCATTGGCATAACCTGCTCCGCTGTCCTCGACGAGGCGCAGCGGGGGAGGCGCCTCGAGCTTCCGGCGGGTCTCACGGTCGGGGTAGCATAGTGCCTTTGGGGTAGAGCCGTTGATGCCACGCGGGTCAAAGGATAGCAGGTGGAAACCCTCCCCGACTATGGTGTGCAGCTGTTCTCCTCTTCGGAATAGAAATTCGCTGCCAGACCCGCCGGGCCCGCCGGGATTCAAAAGCAAGTTCTGGGTGGCGTTGTGGCCACGCAGGCGGATCAGTGGCACGGTAAAGACCTTGTCGCCCGAATTGGTGGCGTTGAACTGGTCCATGGGGACGGTGATTGTGCTGCACTCGACGGGCCGGCCGCCTACCTCGCCGCATGTCTCCCAGCTGATATGCTCGCCTTTGTAGCTGTGCCGCTGGCTCTGGATGTGGTGGTGGCGGGTTGCACAGTGGTGACGATAGCTAGGGAGCAGCAGAGAAGTCCAAGAGTAGTGCACGAGGGCGGAGCAGGCCAAGAAGCTGGTCAGCAGCAGGAGACCTCGGGTGCGTCGTGCTCGCAGTTGTTGAGCTTGACATGGAGCCCGGGGCAGCTGCTCGTCGCCGGCTGCAGGTTCCAGGAAAGGCTGCTTCTCATCCATAGTAGCTTTCTGGGCCCAGGCTCAGTCGGATCTTTGATAGTGGAAGTCAACTAGTGCGAGATGCAATGGAAACTGATGCATGGGATCGAGAGAGTTGAGGTTGTGGTCGCTGCGGGACAGGGAGTGAGTGGGTGCGTGTAAGCGTCGTCGACTTTAGGTACCTAGGTACTTAAGTAAGCAGCGGGTCAACCTTGGCCGGTAAGTCTGCACCGCTTACACGCTTGAACGGCTCCTAGGCCTGATTGGGCCTGCTCCCGGAGATCCTTCTTCAGTTGCCCCAACAACTGATCACAGTCTTCAAGTGACTGTCCCATTGTCTTTGAACATATCCGGTAGACTGCTCTGCTGTAGCTCTGGGCGGATGTGTGGCGACCCGCATGCGCGACATGTTAGTGCCTGAAAGGAGTAGACTCCACAACCAAGCCTTGTCTTAGCCATAGTCGATCGTGAAAGATAATCTGCAGGGTCCCCGGTATCGAGCCCTCCAGCACAACTAGGGCTGCTGATCTCGAGTGTCTAAGTTGTCACTTTTATCGAACACCCATACTGGCATGATCTCCTCGTGAGCTCCAGATGTCACGCCTGGTGGAGAGGGTTGTCACGGCTGAGCTCGCATGCACATGTGGCCCATACTCATCGCAGCCGTTGGGCTGGACCCGCTAGAAGAAATAGGCTGGACAAGTGCGACATAATCAACAGCCTCACGATGCGGACGCAACTTTGTATTGTTCGCTTTGGACAAAATGGCTGGGAATTCTGTGTCCAATGTTTCACGTATCCTCAAGTGCTCTCAGTCATCGAAAAGATTGGGTGTCGAGAGACATGAACGCAAATTCTGAGTAGAATCGCCAACAACATTTCTAAGACTCAGGCCTTCTTGTAAACACCTTCCTGCGCAATGGCCCAATCACCTCCAAAACGCTCCACGATTTCAAACTGCCTCTCGCCGATGAGAAGACCGTCAGTAGCCTCTATATATGGCTTCATGTAATCCTTAGTGAATTGATTCTGTGCAACTAGTCAGCAGGTATTAGATCATGATATTATACTACGTCGTCTCCCTGAAGTTAGTAAGGGGTACCGGTTAAGGGTGGCAGGTGGTCCCTGTGGGGGTCCCTGCAGGTCCCCTTATCAATGAGGCTGCCATCCATGGATACTATCAAGTCTTGCCTTGAAGCCTCAGGGGTGGGTAATCTTCCTTTCTTCTCGTTTTCCTGAGGTAACCCTACTCGTAAAATCCACACTATTTGTTGCAAACTTCGAGGCCTCGTGCCGTGAAGCCCAAGTGACGTCTCGAAGTCCACAAGAGCCCGCCCATAATATCTTGGGATTTGAGACGTTGGAGCACGTGTTGCGCGCTTGGACAGAGCTAGAAATCCTCACCTCAAAAAACCACTCCTTGCTTTTACTCCAGTTCTCAATCCACTTGAGCTTGTTTGGCTCCCCAGGATACCTGAAAACTTCAAAGCTCAGGCACTCTGGCTCGGCGGAGACGAGTTTGAAAGCTTTCCAGAAATGCTCAAGGAACTCGTCCAACTTTCCTTCCTTTACGGTTATGTTTACGATGAGTGTGAACCCATCGCTCTTCTCCGGCCGTGGGAAAGACATGATGATGGCGTCTTCGGAACGGAGCTCAAACATGCAAGATGTATTGAACGGGTAGGCGATGGACGGGGTAAGTGTTTAGGTTGATGGAATCGATTTTGATCTGAGCAGAGGCAAGATGTTTGACGAGAGCCGAGCGGAGGAGGTTCGGTCATTTATATTGTGCTGGTCAATCACAACGCAGGGTTACTCCACTTTCACAGTCTTCTGATGGATTTATAATTGTTGGCCCGGCAAGCCTCAGTACTAACAGGGATAATGCAGCCAAAGTACACACCTAGGTATGTAAGCACTTAGGGATTAGTCAGCCGAACGAAGGATCGTAAAACCCACATGAATGTGTATTCTTGCCCGTACCCACGTATCAGAACACCAGAACTCTCGAGGATTCTAACGTCTGAAGGTGTAGGTAAGTGGGTTGTTGATTCTTCTTATCTGCTATAGTGGGGCGCCCTGCAGAAGCTTGGTTTTAGCTGCCTGCAGGGGCTTGCTTACATAACTAGACTATGGATCCATATAAATGTTAGCTATATTCTAATATTTAGTGTATGTAATAAGTCTACTTAGATAGTTAATAAATAACTTACTTTTTAATTTTTATTTTATTTATATAATTAATTTTAAAGTAAATATATTATAAATATTTATATTATATTATTATATAATTAAAAAATTAAAAATAATTATAATTATAATATTTAATTAAATAAATAAAATTATTTATTAAACTTTTTTATATATATTATTTTTAAAAAATTATATAATTAGTTTTATAATTATTTTAAATATTTTAAATAAATATAATTATTAAATAATTATATAAATATAATTTAATATAATATATTTTAAAATATAATAATTAATATTATTTTAAAAGTATTTTTAAAAGTATTTTTAAAAGTATTTTTAAAAGTATTTTTAAAAGTATTTTTAAAATATTATTTAATTTAATTATATAATAAAACTTTATTATAATAAATATATTATATTACTTTTATTTATAATTTTATAATAAATATTTTAATATTATTATAATTTTAAAATAAAAGTTTATTATTATATAATTACATATTTAATTATATTTTAATTTATATAATTTATTAAATAAATACTTTTAATTAATTATAAAATATAAAAAATATAAATAATTTATATATTAACTTTAAAATTCTTATTTTAATATTTTTTATTAAAATTATTTATCTTTTAAAAAAACTTTTTAAATATTTAAATATAATTTAAATAAAGTTAATATTAATTTAATTAAAATTAACTACTTATAAACTCATTTATATATACTATTATTATATACTTATAGCTACCTAGGGTCCCATATTAGCTCGATTACTTCATCTACCGCGCTTTCTTTTCCTTCATCTTTGAACACATATATCTGTGTCAAACTTCCCTTCTTCTCATCCTTCACAGTCTCAGCCAGCCTCCATGTTTTCTTGTCTTCTTTCCCTAGCTGTGGTCTTATCGGGCCGAGTGACCAGCGAAAATCCTTTGTTTCTGCCCCGTCCCACGTGCCCTCCATGAGACTCAGCTCGGGCGCCCCGTTAGGGTATCTTACAATGGAATATCCGTTAGTGAAAATTACCTCGGCCTTCAAGCCAGTCGTTCCATCTTCGGAATCCAAGCCCCCCACATCGGTACCGTTCTGCGACTTGTTGCCAAAGTCGGGGAACTTCCACCTCTGCAGAAAGCAGCCCCCGCAGACCAGGGCAACATAGCCCATGTCTAGGATCGGAGCCGAGTACCAACTCTTCCAATGGTGAAGCGTAATAAACCTCCCTAGCACATGACAGTCAGCTGTTATGGGTCTCAAAGTGACACCTTCGGGAACAGTCCTCAAGAGTTGGCAGGCGGTGAACGGCAAGAGGAGAAGAACCAGGCTTACATCCGCTCTCAAAGAATCCATCTAGGTTCCCTTTCATGTCCTGTTGCATGAGGCCCTTTACTCTCTCAAGCCTCGCGTGCGTGTGGTCGTGAATGCACTCCATCAGCTGCATGTCACCTCCCCTGCCGCTCAGGCAGTTGCCCAGGTGCGGTTCTAGCTCCTCCGCGAGCGGTACAGAAAGAAATATCCCGGCACCGCCAAACGCGGCCATGCCGAAGCGAGTGGCAGCGAAGGACTCGGAAAGGTCACCTAGGTATGCCGGCTTTGTGTGGTCGTGCGCGGCCAGGGCAGCAGAGAGCGGCTCGATAGCGGGGAGGAATGTGTCGTCGTCGAGGATGCCTAGCCAATGTGTGTCATTGTGGGAGAGGCCAAAACCCTCATCTGTGTATTCAGATGCCGTTGCCGTGCGCCGGGCACGTACGTGTGCCAGCATGTCCAGAATGACCATCATATGGCTTTGCGCGACGGAGTGATCTCCATGTGGACGCACGAGAAGGAGCTCGATGCCCGAGCTGGCAAAGTCATCGATGAGGGAAGGCCATGTTGTGGCCTGTTCCACCTCGAGGTCTTTCTGTGTCTGGTCCGCCCCAGGTCTGTCTGTCAACAGAGCTATGAGTGGGGACCCTGACTTCGCCATCCAGTGTGCGAAATGGGGCTTGGCCGCCTTCAGGCGTTCGGATGAGGTCGCTACGGCGAATAGAAGGTGGTCATACTGGCCGACTCGTTCGGGATACGGGTCTGGGACGGCGAGTTTGAGCGGCTCGCAAGGGATATAATCATCAGCTATGCCGCCACAGGATAGCAGGTTGACGTCAACCGGCGGGCCATAGAGGATCGGCTGCGAAATATTGGCGACGACATCGCGGTCGACGGCTCCTGCATTCGGATCTGCCGGTGATGACTGCGGAGCTGATGTAGAGAACACGGGTTTGATACACCGCCTGGTGAACTTGATGTTGGTGGTCAGGCCAAGCTCAGGCTTTTTCAGGTGGTCCAGCTCGGGGATACATTGGGGAGCGGCCGAGTAGTCTGGAGCTTCCTCGGGCCCGGAGTCCGGGATGTCATCCTGCTGCTTGACTGGTGTTTTGTTCGGTCCCTCGGGTGTGGATGAAGTCAAGCGGACGCTTTCCGGAACAACGTTCATGTAGTGTGCGAAACTGAAGAGGAAGACGAGTGCCGCTGCAACGAGGACGAGGCGCCCAAATGGGCCTCTCGGGAGACCCGCTGCCATTGTTGAGGAACAAAAGCCTCACGACTTCCCTGTCATCACGCCACAGCACTTGGATGTTGGTAGGTACGTAATGTCGAGCACTGCGGCACACGTGCTGCGACAAGTGCTCGACAAGTGCGGGTGTGGCTGGCGCAGGAGTTGATTTGCAAGAAGGACGTCAACGGGGCATACATAACACTGCAGTAGGATGCTGATTATATGAGAGCCTCGAGTTTTCGTCTGTCTGCGTTGTGCTTATCCTCGAGATCGAGTGGTTGCCTGGTCAGGCTACCCAAATCCCGTGGTCCAGCGCGGGTATACGGCAAGGTCGAGCCGCGTCGAAGGATCGCGTTAGCCTCTTTGAGACTTGCCAAGATCAACGTGCAGGCCGTATCTCATTTTGTTGATGATTCCCGGCGCTCATTCTGGCCTACAAATGAGCATGAATGGATGTGCAATTATTCTGCGTCGGTGTGGTGGTTGTCAGGGTTGTGTCGCCAGTTTACTTGAGAACACGCCTGCCGAGCCCAGGCAAGCAACATTTGAAGCCGACCACCCATTTCGAGACATCTCAGCGTCTCATGCGTCCTAACCACGTGAGGACCTGCGAACATTCTCTTCTCCCCCGAAAGACCCGTGTCGTAACTGCAACATCCTGGTGCATACTTAAGTTCTACGTTTGTAGAGGTCGACCCCTCAGAGAGGTCGACCGGCGGCAACAAATGCGTGTCAGTGGATTCGAGACCCTGGCCCCAGCCCCTTGGTATGGATATGGACATTGGCCACACTACCGGGGACTTGGCTGGTAACAGAGCTTTCAAGGCTTCAGACGTCAAGCCTGGTCTTAAGGCTGATGCTGAGGCTGAGCAGAATCAAGCTTCTTAAACTGGGCCCAGTCATCGGCATGAGGAAATGGAGATTGTGGCACAGGGACCCCCAAGAATCCACACAGAGGTGCCCACCCGTCCGGAGGGCTCCATTCTAAGAATCTCCGACCCTTCCCCAGCCTCCGTACCATGTCATTGTGTCTTCTGAAGTAGTCACGCCCATTAGTGGCGAAGTCATTGCTCCAACACAGGGTATGGTACTTGGTGGAAAGTGCTGCCATAGGCGATGGGCTACCAGGTAACACATTCGTATGATAGTGGATGAGGGTCGACATCATAGAAGCGTACCAGGCATCCTCAGGCCTTGTCGAGAGGATGATGGCCGCCTCTGGGTACGCGTCTACCAGCTGCTGGGGTAAAATGGCGGCTGGGAAGTCGGCAGCTCCCTAGACGCGCCTCGTTAGCATCGATCTAGTGCACAGTAGTGTGATTTATCTCGATTGTGAACCACACGCTCGGGACGCTTACTTGGAAGCCAGCTAGAATTTTCTCGAAGTCATCCCGGCCCCAAGCGGGCCCTTTCCCCTCAAGATTGTCCTCAAGCGCGCGTATCCACAGGTGCTGGTGCTTGTTCTTGCCCACCTCACGCATGTGGTAGACGTCCGGAATGCCGAGCTGGGACAATGCCTCTGCAAGTGCTTGATGGGCCCACTCATTAGCAATTTTTGGCAACTTATAGTGCCAAACCGTGTCGAGTAGAAAACACACATTGGGTGCCTGTCCGGGGAGGACCAAGCACGAGTACCTGCATATTGACCGGTGCGGAGTATTCACTGCCCAATTGAAATCCGATGGAACACTGACACACGCGAGATTGTAGCATGAAGAGAGGGAATATTGTGGACAAGGAGGTGGCTGATGAGCCCTCCAAGCACCTGGCCATATATGAGTCTCATCCTCGAACGCGTATTTACAGTCGTCTCGCGACAAGCCGGGACGCCGGGGAGACGCGGGATCCCCCATCTTACACCTTCTCGACATGGAATCGGACACACCATGTGGTTGGCCGAGTGTGCAATGTTCCAAGGTTGCCAAGATGCCTGACAACCTGCCCTAGGTACCCAGGTAGGTACCTACCTAGGTCCTTAAGGAGGTGAACAATGATGAAATTCAAGCCTCGTCCGTCATCTCTACATACACGTCTGGAGAAACTAAACGACACTAGACCCGCGGGTTGAAGCGATGGAATTCGCGAGACCGGCCACGGCTTGAACACTCCTAACCCTTGCTTCCTAGACATCCCTCCTGGTGTCTCCCAAACAGGAAACTCCGGCCGGATCGAACCTCGATCTTCACAAGCTGCCCCGTGAGGGGCAACAACAGTCGGCGCTACCACGTCGGCCTCTAGCCCAGTATCACGACCTCTGAACTTGTATATTAAGGGCTTTCAGCTCTTATTAGCCGCCAAGATGGGCACCTCCCGTCGCTGCGGGATATCTTGACGTCACTCTGAACCTCTACACTGCCATCGCCGCAATCATCTGACCTCTAGTAGCTTAAGCTACTAACTCGCATAACATGGCCGACAGCGACAGCGTCTTCAATATCTCTATTGTTGGCTATGGGTAAGTAACGCCGACTCTATGGAGGGGTGTGGGAGACGAGAATGCTGCTGACCGGAGACTGACACGACAGACTCTCAGCCAAGGTCTTCCATATTCCTTTCGTGCTCGCAACAAAAGGATTGCGGTTGCACTCCATTGTCCAGAGAAAGCCCTCGGAAGGCAACTCCGCGCCCAGCGACCACCCGGAGGCCAAGCATTACACCTCGTTTGACCAGGCCCTACAAGATTCGGATATCGACATCATAGTCCTGTCCACCCCGCCGAACACCCACTTCGACCAGACCAAGCGAGCCATCGAAGCTGGAAAGCACGTCCTCACCGAGAAACCATTCGTCCCGACCTCAGCGGAAGCAGAGGAGCTGGTCAGACTGGCAAAAGAGAAGGGCAAGCTGCTATGCGTCTACCAGAACAGGCGCTGGGACGCCGACTTCCTGACCGTACAACACCTCTTGCAGGAGGGTAAACTCGGCCGAATCTACGAGTTTGAAACTCACTTCGACCGCTACAGGCCCGACGGCCCAAGATCGTGGAAAAGCACACTGACTATGGCCGACGGTAACGGCCCCATCTTTGATCTGGGCACCCACCTGCTCGATCAGGTCTTCGTACTCTTCGGCAAGCCGACTGCAGCCTGTCAGTACTATTCTTCTCCTGTGCTATTTCAACTGTAGGCTCTGTAGCAACTTGCAACTTGCGGTGGCTAACACATACCAGACGGCAAGTTCATGAACCAGCGCGAGGGCAGGCTCGTCTCCGGAGCCAATGGCCCAGAAGATGAGCCTGACAGTATCCACGCCACCCTCACCTATGCCGACAAGGGCTTGCTCGTGCACATGCGAATAGGGGTGCTCAGCGCCGAAAGCAAGCAGCCGCGGTTCTGGGTGCGCGGCTCCAAGGGCAGCTACCACAAGACAGGACTTGATCCTCAAGAGCCTCAGCTCATCGGCGGCATGAAGATCAGCGACAAGGGCTTCGGCGTCGATGGTGCTGCGTACAATGGTACCATCGACATGGTCCAGGAGGACGGCTCGGTCCAAGATTACACCTTCCCTAACATCGAACCTCAGACGTATCTGAGGTTTTACGAGCTTCTGGCAGCCGCTCTGGCATCTGGGAAGCAGGAAGATCTACCTGTCCCAGCCCAGGAGGCGGCAGAAGTGCTGAAGATTGTAGAGGCCATCAAGGAAAGTGCCCGCTCTGGGAAAGAGATCCCCGTGGCTTGAAAGTCACTGCTGGAACTCCTTGGAAGAAGGACCGGATGGCCTTGAATGTATGCTCACCTATGCAAATGTGCAAGAGGTTGACTTGGTTCACATATCTGCAGCCCTGGAATGCTTGTAGACTGGTTTTGATAGGGGGTGGCACTACTCAAATGGAAAGCCGGTCGCCACCGACCTGAGATTGTGAGGACCGGAAATGCTGCACAAGTCCGAAGGCTTTCTTTCTTAGCATATCATAAACATGACGAGAGGACGCCATGAGGGTGACTGATTAAACGCTAACTTAGAAGCTTGAGTTGCAGGCAGTAACATCATGTGGCTCTCTATTAAATTCATATAAAGTTAAATCCTTTTAGCTATATAGTAGGGATATAATAATAAATATATAATAAAGACACTCCTTATATACTATAAGACCGGGCAGCTCTTAACCTATTTATATCACTAGGTTTATAGTAGTTATAATAGTCCTTTATTAGGCTTAATTAATAGGGAAGGTATTTATTTATATAGGCCCTTTAAATAACCCTTTAATAGTTAGTTATTAATAATTAACTATTTTTAATACTACTTTTTTTACCTTTATATATATAAATTTAATTAATATTAATTAATAGTTATAAAAGTAATTATAAATAGTTAAGTTAATAAAATAATTTATTATTTTATAATTAAATAGTTTAAAAGTAATTATATTAAGATTATTAGATTTTATTTAATTTATATAATTTATTTAATATAACTATTTTTAATTAATTAACTAATTAAAGTTAAATAACTCTTTTAAAAATTAACTTTTATATAATATTTTAATAATTATTAAATATAATATTTAAATAACTTTTAAATATTTAATATTTAATTTAATATTACTATTTAAAATTATTTTTATAAATATTTATTATATTTTATATAAATAAAAACTTTATTAAGATTTTAAATTTTTTATTTATTTTATTATTAAGCTTTTTTATATTTTAATAATACTTTAAACTTTATAAGTTAACTTTATTAAATATTAAACTTTTATTTATTTTTAATTAATAACTTTTAATATACTTATATATATTTTTAAATTAATATTATAATAAATAATCCTTTTATATTTTATTAATAAAATTTATTATATTTTAAAATTAATTATTTTTATTTTTAAAATAATATAATTTTATTAATATATTTAGTTTTATAATTATTACCTTTATTATTTTAATAATTATTTAATATAATCTTTTAAATTTTATTAAATTTTTAGTTTATTTAATATTATTATTTAATAAAATTTATAATAATATATTTATTTTAACTTTATAAAGGTATAAAATTATAATAAATATATAAATTAAATATTTTTAATAATATTTATAAATTTTCTTTATATTTTTATTTAATAATAATATAATAAAATAGTTTTTATATTTATTTTAATAATTTAAAAATTTTAAATTTAATTTATATTTAAAATATTTTATTTTTATAATAAAAAAGTTATTAATATAGTAGTTATAATAGTTCTTTATTAAGTTTAATTAATAAAGAAAATATTTATTTATATAAACCTTTTAAGTAACTTTTAATAATTAATTATTAATAATTAATTACTTTTAATACTATTTTTTATCTTTATATATATAAGTTTAATTAATAAAGTTAGAATTATTATTTAATCTTTTATAAAGTTTAATTTAATATTTATATTTATTTAATAAATATTTAATTTAAAAATATTAAAATAATATAAGTTATAAATATTTATATATTTTTCTAATTTTATTATTAAATTAAAAATAAATAATTAAAGTTTTTAAAAAATAAAATAAAACATATCTTTTAAAAATTAATTTAATTAAATTTATTATATAAATTTATTTATAATAACTTTACTGTGGTAGGCATGAAGGGGTGCAAGCAGTCGGTTAATTAGGTGCGCAGCTGGCCCGCAGCTGGCGGCCAGCTGCCAACCCCGCTAGGCGCCCCAGAGGGCGACCTACCTAAGGCTTCACCTTTGCAACAACTTTGTAGTTAGCTTTCCTAGCAACTAACCACTATATAATTTCAATATAACCTCATTGCCCTATAAGCTCTTCCACATTTATAATTATCTTTAATATTATTTATTATTAAAAGATACTTTTTTATATTAATATATTAAATTATATTTAATTAATTTATTAATAATTAAAGTTATTATAAATTATTTATTATTTATTTTAATATTAATAAATATTATTATATAAAAATATTAAATTTATTATATAATTTAAATTAATATAAATTAATTAAAATAAATAAAAATAAAACTATTATTTTTAAAAGTTTTAATTTTATTTAAATATATATTTATTTAATAAATTAAAAGATTATTAACTTTATAAATAAAATTATTTTAAAATAATTATTTAACTTATTATACTTTAATTTATTAAATTAAAATATAATAAAATAAAATAACTATATTTTATTATTTAAATTTATAATTTTAATAATTTTATTATAAATAAAAAAGAAATAATTATTAATAATTAAGTTTATATTATATAAAAATAAATTTTTATTTTAAAAAGATTATTAATATTTAAAATAATTAATATATTATTAAAAGTTAAAAATTATAAATTTAATTTAAAATATATTAAAATTTATAAGAATTTTAAATTTAAAGTTTATATTTATATTAATAAAGTATTTATAAAGTATTAAAAAAAGTTTAAATTAAATTTAATTTAATCATAATATAATAAAATAATTAATTAAAAACTAATTAAAAAATTATAATTATAAATCTTTTAACTTTATATTAAAAAAATAAGTAAATAAATTATAAACTTTTAATTTAAATATATTATTTATAAATATCTTATATAAGTAGTTTATAAGAGCTACTTTATACTTAAATATTACTAACTTATTTAAAAAGTAGGTTAATAGGAACGGGTAGAAGGGGGGGTCCACACGGGATATAGAAGAGACCGTGGAATTACCTCTCAGCCGTGTACATGTACAATAAAAATGGGGCCTGTTGGCTCTGAGTATCGATCAGACCATGCGGCAGGGCATCCGGGTGCTCAAGGCGAGACTGGGCGGTTGCTATCGGCCCCATCCGCCAAGTATACATTGCATGGACCACTATTGCGTTGGAAAGGACAGCTTTGTAAGCTGCGACTGGTGCAACAGGATAGACTGAATGGGTTCAAATTCATGCTGCGGATTCCTTCAAGCCAAGGAGTGTTGTAGAACGGGTTTGAGGTACCAAGTACTTGGTAAACTCGGCCCTCCGAGTCCACGATTCAGCCCAGCCGAGTCAGAGCCCTGGAGTCGGTGATGTGGCATTCACATTCAACCAACAGGTTGGCGACAAAATTACGGAATATCCCGTTAATGGACCAGGGGCCGGCTACTTCGCAGGCCGGCCTGGCCCACGAGGGCACAGGACTGGGCGTGTTCGACCACCTAACAAGCACACAGCACGAAGACGAGCAGCCCCCACAATTGGCCAGTTGGCTGCCCCATAGAGGCCAGAGCTCCCTGAGGTCAGGACGGCAGGACGGGGCCGTCTGCGACATGAGGTGTCACTCAACACGGCTCGGGGCTGTTTAGTACTTACCTGGGCCACGGTGCGCACTTGTCAACCTAGCAGCCTGGGCAGGGCTGACCGGTCGTCTAAAACGGCCTTTGTGAATTCTCCCTAAGGTACTTGAGTACATCTTTTTCAGGCGTCGCGCACAAACATGACGCATGTTGTCGTAGTGGAAGACACGCAGAACCTACTGACAAACTGAGCACGAATCTGCCGATAATAAGGACGCACTGGGCCGCTCCTAAAACATCATCAATGATGCATCAGGTGCTTCCGGCTCCCTCCCTACCTATTTAGGGGGTTAAGGGGTCCGAAGGGAGACGTGGGACACCCATGCCCCCTAGATCTTGTTGCATATTTAGCCCTGGAGGGGCGCCACTGAAGGATCTTTCCCCCTAATGAGCAGATCGACTGCTAGGAATGCCTTGTTCTTCCGTGGAGCGTCAATCATTGACGACCTGTGTAATCTCGTGTTTGGCAGAGCCTAGGTTTCAGCCTGGCTTGCTTCCTGGTGATTGACCGGTTATCCAGGGCCCTTGGTGTTCTCTTGTCGACCTTTCTAGTGTGACTGGGCGATTTTGAGGAAGCTCAAAAAACGGTCTTCGACCATTGGTAATACTGAGGGGGTTGCTGGAGGAGGCTTGCCCTGAGTCCATGGGTGAGCTCTAGTAGTTGAGCAACCCGGCCCCTGGCCTGCCCCATTCTGAGGTTATAGGCTCGGGGGCTGGCACTTGCTTTGGAGTACCAATGGGTCTCATTCACTGAGGCCTTATTAAAAGATGCTTCACATGCCCAGTTGGCCTCGGCCAGTGCCTCCATCTCTTGGGACCACACGAGTAATCTCGTGGCCAGAGACGCTCCAATGAAGACAAGGTGCTTTCAATCACGCCACATCCTTATCACCATTCCATCAGGCTTCTCTTGGATATATTGAAAGGCGAGTCTGCCTCACAAGCAGCAGAGCCGAGGTGCACTGAAGCTACCATGCCCTACCCTCCTTGTCATTGGCATTGAGCCGTCGGGTGTCTGCCCAAGTACTGACCACTATAGAGCCTGCCATGCGCAATGGGACAGGTCGTTTTTAATCAGCTTGTTTGCTCCAATGCCGAAACGATCGGGGCATCAGGTGCTTTCCCAATGACCATCTACCACACCTGCTGAATACGTCCAGTTGCACCTAGGTACCATTGGTATTCTCATTTGATCTGCGGCATTCCGAGATGCGACGTCCCGTTGATCGGACCTGGACAGTGGCTGCTGCGCGCTGCACTCTGCCGCCAGCCGTCTTTTCACCTCCCAACACCCTCGCAGCTCATATCGTTGTTGAACCCGCTTCCTTTTGGGTTGGCAGCCGACAACCAATCAGCCACGACGATGGCCATGACCTCACAGGCGCTTCTTCCTGCATCTGTCACGAGAGAGTCCTGGCTGCAGGAACCAATGTTTGCCCGTGCATTTGACAGCTGGCTCTGGGCCTGTTCACTCGGGTGGGGTGTGTTCAATAACCTTGGAAGTTCCGTCTCCGCGTCCAAGGTTCTCCCCCCACAGTCTCCAGGCTGTTCGTCCTTTCAACAACATTGTACTCCATCGACTATACACCTAGAACGAAACGACGCCCCTGGGAATTTTATGATCCTGATTGGTTGTAGGCGACAAACAATCTTGCCTCTCGATTCATAACCGGTCGGCCCTTGGTCACGGTTGCTTGCTGGGGTTGACTTGATGTCCAAGTGGTGACCGCCCGGACTGCTGGATGCGATATTCCATCTCATCCACTGCACGGCTCCCTTCCCCGGGCTTAGATCGCGTCGACCCGGTCAAATCTTGAATTTGATTATTGGTTGAAAGCCTCCAAGGAGACCGGTCAAGCTATCGTGCCGGGTTCAGTAGCCTGAGCTCAGTCGGTGACTCCAAGCATCGCGATTGGATACACAGGACCACCCGAGGGATGCTCTGCATCAGTCGGCTGTTGTACATTGGCTCTTCTCCTGGTCTGTCCTCGGCAACTTCCACGGTATCCCGTGACGCCCGGCGGTTGTGAAAGGCAGAACCAGACGTTCAGGTTGTGCAGTCCAGATGGAACGGCCCGGTCAAGATGAGTTCCGTTCTTATAAGACCAACAAGATGATTCCACTCTACAGACATGAGGTTTGTTCGATCCCATCGCTTCTACTTTGTTGTGTTCCTATCTGGTCGCACTACCTCCTCATCTATCTTTCTTTATCTGTCAATCACGTGACAAAAGATGAGTTGGCCGTTGACTGTCTTGATAGGCATTTGCTTCCGTTGGAACTAGTAATCCGACAAGCACGAGAGGACGCAAGAGAGACCGCTTCAGCCCAGAGAACGCCAACGTCCCAGCTGCTAAGCCGGTCGCGAAGAAGGCACGCACCCTAGCACACCGTTACCCCGGAGTCCACGTCGAGGTCTGGCACCAGTCCGAGTTGTCGGTGCAAACCAAGACAACAGCTGAATACGAGTTGGGACAGCAACTGCCTGTGCCCGCTCTCACACCAAGTTCAGGGCTATCATCCACACTAGGGACGTCCAGGTCATCCTTCATACCTATATGTAACGGGTGGCCCTCGTACCAAGTGACCTGTTTCGAGCCGGGCACGCAGGGTGCACAGGAATCAGTGTGCTTGCAGTCTTTTCCACCTGTGCTTGCAGCTCTCAGCTTCCCCACTTATTCTAGATTCGGTCAAAGCTCTTCTGACACGTCTTCGCTATCAACAGTATCGATTAACAGCAGTCCTCAGGCTGGACTCTTCGAGTCTCAAGTCTTCTTCGCTCCCAAGCAGACAGAAGGCTTTGACTTGCACACCGAGGCGTGCAACGATTTTCTTCCCACATGTCAAGATACAACCTCTGACCTCGCCGAGTACCCCCACTCAGGCCTTCCGTGTTTCCCTGAGCCAGTTCCTCACGACGTTGTGATGGGTGGCGGAGAGCGGTTTCCAATCTCACAACACGATGTGGCCTCCAACCCCGCACTTGTGTCGAAGCCAGAACAACAGCAACACACATTGTATCACGACCCTTGGCAGACGCAAGAACTAGGTGTTACTCCGATGCCGAATCTTCTGGCCTGGACTGATACAGAAATACCGGCTCAACACCCCTTTTCACAGAGGGCCTCCCATGTCGATACTCCTCCATCCCAACCTCTCCTCAGTCGGGAGGAAGACCGTTTCAATGACACTGCCCACGAGGACCAGATGAGCCACAATGATGGGTTGCCGTTGCGACTTTCGCGGTTTCAGGACTCGGGAGTCGAGGACGCTGGTGTTGGTGAAAAGATACTTGCCGTCTGTGAGAATAGCCAGGGCACATCCGAGTGCGCGTGTGCGGGACATTCTCCCAACAGTCCTTGTTCGTCATGCGCCAGCCCACAATCATGGGTTATGGTCACATATGAGTTGGTGAAGCCCTCCAAGGACGACAAACCCAAGAAACTACCCAAGCCAAGGAAACGTCTTGACCACAACGCCCGGGCACAGACCTCTCAAACAAGGGAGGTGGGAGCTTGTTCGTAACAATATTCTTTTTCATAACGGAACTCCGTCCAAAATTGCCTCGGAATGTACCAAGGCATCTCACTTTAGGACCCGTGGCAGGTGACTAACGCGTCCCAGGCGTCCGATGCAAGATACAACGAGTGAGATGTGTGCCCAATGGTGACGATCCTTGTGGACCTTGCGAAGCCTGCTCCCGGGTCGCCTTGAACCACTCACGAAAGGTGCTGCATCACATCGGCTGTCACAGATGTCTGTTCCCCTCCTTTCTAACACATCCTCGTCTTTCATGATTGGAGATAATCCATAATGCATCAGTTGAGGATCTGTAGCAGGTAATTGACACTTGCTAGACATATTGAGAGAGCTTGTCCTCTTCCGATCCTCAGGGTCGAGAGTCACCGATCGATGGCATAGTGCTCAGGTTCGCAACGTAATGACAGAGGGCAAGACATTTACAGTCAAGATTGAGCAGGACTTTGTGGGCCGTTCTTTTGAATGCCAAGTCCGTAAGGTATCCAACAACCCCAACAGCACCCACAAAGATAGGACCACACGCGACTGGTATAATGGAACCACTGTCAAACGCGAGGCCGTCTTGGAATATGCCCTTGTCGACGTCAATGAGACTATGATCCGCTACAAAGACTACATACGTGACAACGTCCTCGGGCACAACTACCCACCAGCAATTGCCAAGGTTGTGGAAGGTTATCGGAAGCCGGAGCAAGGGGTCGACACCACAATCGTTGCAGAAGTCTACGAAAAGGCTTGGGCTTACTTTTGCAGCCTTCCCAGCGAGGAAAAAACATGGGACTTCTATCAGCCTTGGCCTCGGGGAAACAAAAACGACAGTGAGAAGTTGGTTTCCGAGAAGGGGTTTCTTCTTGGCTTGTTTGAGTTACAGTTTGCGTTGAGTAAGTCTCTCGCCAACCCTCAGATCTTGCTTTACTTCTTAACTTCTCTACTACATCCAACTGTTGAATCCTTTTTGACTGCCCTCAGGACATTCGACTGGATGGTCTTGGCTTGGTGAAGGAGTCAATATCCCGAATGCCCGTCCATGTCAAGATTTTCCGCCGCTAAAGGTGAGCAGAGTTTTGTATACATTTCTGGCCCCCTTCAGGAGCAACCTTGAAATCTCTCCCAACTTTGGTTTGTACGTCCAAACACTTGTTGCGCTACTGGGTTCAAGATAGCCTGTCACGAGATGGGAAACAGAGACAAGGCAACTATCCTCAATACATCAATTTCAGTCAAGTCGGCGGTACCTTCTATGTAAGGGGAAAGGTTTGAGGGAGGAAGGCTCAGGTCCTAAGCTTGAAGTGGGTGGGCGAATGGGCGCACTGGATGACTAAGCAGGAAGCCAGTGGGATCCCAGTCACCCACGCTCACACACTCACACACTCTCACACTCACACACTCACACACTCACACACTCTCACACTCACACACTCACACACTCACACACTCACACACTCACACACTCACACACTCACACACTCAAACATTACAATAGGGTAGCCTATGGCGACGACTTCAATGGCTGACTCTGAGTGTCACAGGGACGAATCATGACACCACGAATGGTAGTGGGTCAACTTGACTGTATTCGGATTTCTTGTGTTCTGAAGCCACTGACGCGAGCAATTTTGCGGGTGATGATGTCGTGGGTTGGTGATCGACAATACAATCGCTGGATGAGTATTTTTTTTGCCACGTTTGTGCTCCTTAGCGAGCTTTCCAAAATCACTGAAGATGCCTACCTACACGGCTGGTATGATAAGGATATCAAAGGTGATGTAAGTCCACTAGTCTCCCCGTCGCGGCCATGCTGACCTTCCATGTAGGGCCCCAAGCATGCTCACATCATCAGAGACGTCCATGAGTCTGCCAACATTCTGCTTGCACATTGGCACTATTACAGCTGCAGCACTGACCCGTTCGGACCCTTCGACAAGAAATACCCTCGGAGCAAAACACCATTGAGAGAGCTGACTCCTGATCAGCTCGTCATGGTCCAGAACCTCTGGAGTGGGCTACGGCAGTGGAAGGAGAGGCCCTGCGGTACGACTGTCCTTTCCCCGCCCTCCATCGCGAACCTGCGGCTGACCTGTGCTCGAAGACGATGAGTTGTACAAGAACACGAAAAACGAAAAGTGGTGGCAGAAATGGTGCCACAGTCTGTGAGTCCCGTCCCGCTTCAGCTGTCCCGTGGGTCTTGTTTGGAACGTTCCCAACCTTGCAGTGGTCGGGTTTCGCAGCTACCTAGGTATTGACCAATTCTCCTCAGGTACTTCGTCGACCAGATGATTGACACGAGTTGGAAGCCGCGACAAGTCTTTGCTTGATAGAAAAATCTATATCAGCTCAGGCTGAATGATAGTGTGTGTCGAAAAATGGGGCATCACAGCGCGCGTACCAATTTCTTTTTTCTTCCTTTTGGGCTTTTTGGTCAGTTCTCTGTCTCTCCGATTTGAGGTTTTGGAGCGTGAGTACGGTTGTGCGTCAGGAAAAGAACGCGAAAATGGTGCCAAATGACTTGCAAACCCAACATTGAAGTGGGGCGTCATGAAGTTTACGAATTTTCACGAAGTCTACGAGGCTATGGCACGTGGGGCAATCTTGATCGAGCCGACGGGATTGGGAGGTGCCTGAATGGCTAGATACATGCCGAAAGCCCTCAACTTTGGAACTCGCGCTGCAAGTTCTGTAGACCTTTCCACGAAACGAATTCGATTCATCGAAAGCAAGTGTTCTGTCACAAAATGAGGCCCTAGTGAAGCGGTGGAGCTCCTGAAGTCTCTATAGAGTCCAAGTGTGCATAGTCTAGTTGAGGAGACTTGAGCACTTGGCCTAAAAATCAATAGTGGATAAGCTTAAAGAACAAGTGGATAGTTCTGTACAAACTGTCACTCCGAATCGTATACACAAACAGATCATCAAACTCTAAGTCTGACCGCCCTGAGCTTTGCAGCACAAGTGGGACCAACTTTTCTGCTCCCACACCAGCAACCTTGGAAGACTAGCCTCGAACCACGTGATGGAACTGCCTTAAGGTAAGGGAACTTGTAGGCCCGTTTTATCCTATGAAAATAGGGACAACAGGTGACTTTATATAATAACTTTAAGGTATTAAAAGCGCTTAAAACCTAGTGCTTAAAAATATATCTAAAATCTATATATATATAGTTAGGGTTATATATTATAGGGTATTTTAATTTACTTAAAGTAAATTTTTTTTAAGTTAATTAATTTTTTTTTATTTTTATTAAAATTATTAAATCTTATTATATAAATAATAAAAGTATATTAATTTTATTATTAATTATTTTTATTTATTATATAATTATTAAATATTTAATAAAATAATAATTTTATTTTAAAATAATTTTATATTATATATTAATTAATATATTTATTTTATTATATAATTTTATTTTATTTTATATATATTTAAAATATATATAATATTTTATATAATAATAAATATTTTATATTTAATATTTTAAAATATAATATTAATAATAATAATTATAATATTATAATTATTTATAATTTTAAATTTATAATATATAAATAAAATTAAAAATATTATTTTAATAATAATATTAATTAAAATTATAAATAAAATAATTTATAATTTAATTATTATAAAAATATTATATAATAAAATAAAATTTAAAAATAATTATTATAATTATATTATAATTATATTAAAAATTAATTAAAATTATTTTATTAATTTTATTATTAAATTAAAATAAATAATTAAAGTTTTAAAAATAAAATATAATATATTTTTAAAAATTAATTTAATTAAATTTATTATATAAAATCTTTTATAATAATTTTATAATTTATATTTATAATATTATTTATTATTAAAAATATTTTTATATTAATATATTAAATTATATTTAATTAATTTAAATTAATATTATTAATTTATTAAAAATTAAAATTATTATAAATTATAAATTAATTTAATATTAATAAATATTATATATAAATATTAAATTTATTATATAATTTAAATTTTTAAATTAATTAAAATAAATAAAAATAAAATTATTATTCTTTTAATTAAAGTTTTAACTTTATTTAAATAAATATTTATTTATTAATTTTATAAATAAAATTATTTAAAAGTAATTATTTAATTTATTATATTATTAAATTAAAATATAATTTTTAAATAAAATAATTATATTTTATTATTTAAGTGTGGGAATAGTGGGCTATAGTGGATTAGTTATTATAAGTAGAATTAGTGGGTTTATGCTTATATATAGACTAGCTAGCTTAGTTAGTAGGTTTGGCTAACCTAATTAGATGCTTTGTTGCTTAGTTAGATAAACCTTCTAATTAATATTAAAATATATTATTTTAACTATTTTTTATATGTAAATTAAGTTAACTAATATTAATTAGTTGCTAACTAGCTTTTAATAGTAAGGTTAAAGAGATAGTTAATTGCTTTAAAGTAGTTGGATTTTTTATAAGTCTTTATTATTAAAATAATTATATTAAGGTTATAAAGCTTTTAAAGCTTAGGTATTAATTAGTTATTAAAAAGAAGATTTTTCTCTTTTTTTTTCTTTTTTGTGATTGTACCCTTTATTGAAGAACCTTATAAAGCTATTAATTTAATAAAAACTTAGCTAGGTGTAAATGGAGTCCTTAAATTTCTTTATTATTTTATATATTTTATTATGTTTTAAGAAATTATAAATATTTTTAAAGATTTAAAATTTATTTATAAAGCTTTTTTTATTATTAAGCCTTTATTTATATTTTAATAGTGCTTTAAGGAGAATTATAAATATCTTTAAAGATTTAAGATTTATTTTTTTTTTTTCCTTAATAATTAAGTAAGACGCCTTTATTGGCTAAGTTTATAAGTAATCTATTATTATAATAATTTTTTTTATAGTTTATAAAAAATATTTCTTTTATTAAGAAACTTATTAAGAAAGAAGATTTTATATAATAGTTTAAGGTAATAAATAAATAAGTAAGTAGAAGTCTCTTTTATAATAACCTTTTAAGTATTATTTAAGAGACCTTTAAATATAAATAATAATTTTATAGGTTAAATAACTAACTATATAGATAAGGTGGTAGTATATTTACTATATAAAAACTATATTTGGTATAACTTAACTAAATAATTGATTAAATAACTTTTTATTTAAATAACTAATTGTAATTAAGCCCCTATTTAAGTAATTATTAAAGTAAGCCTTACTTTTTAATAGCTATTAAGTAGCTATTAAATAGCTTAATGGTTTAATTAATTATATAAATTAGAAGGGAAGAAAAAGAAGAAACTATTAGAAGGACTAACTAGTTAGGTGTGGTTATAGTTGGTAACTATTTAGTAGATGGCCTGGTAAGTAATTGGTTAATTAGTAATTTAGATTTAATTTTACTTATTAAAATAATTTAAATTTAAGTAATTTAGGTGATTTATAAAATGTTAATTTAAAGTATTTTTATGGTGCTTAAATTAAGTAAATTATAATTATATGTTTAGTGGTAATTTTAAGTAATTGGAGTAATTTAGTTGGAAACTACTTTGTTAGTAAATAAAGCTTTTTAATTGGCTAGAAGGAAGATTTTAAAAGACTAAAAAGGTGTTAGTGTGGGAATAGTAGGCTGTAGTGGATTAGCTATTATAAGTAGGATTAGTGGGTTTGTGCTTATATATGGACTAGCTAGCTTAGTTAGTAGGTTTAGCTAACCTAATTAGGCACTTTACCGCTTAGTTAGGTAGACCTTCTAACTAATACTAAGATATACTACTTTAACTACTTCTTATATGTAAGTTAAGCTAACTGATATAAATTTATAATTTTAATAATTTATAAATAAAAGAAAAAATAATTATTAATAATTAAGTTTATAATTATATAAAAATAAAGTTTTATTTTAAAAAAAAAGTTATTAATATTTAAAATAATTAATATATTTTTAAAAGAATTAAAGAATTATAAGTGTAATTTAAAGAAAATTAAAATTTATAAAAATTTTAAATTTAAATTTTAAGGTTTTAATTTAATATTTATATTTATAAAAATAAAAGTATTTATATAATTTAAAAGATTTAAATTAAATTAAATTAAATTATAATAAAAAATTAATTAAATAAAAGTTAATTAAAAATTATAATTATAAATCTTTTAATCTTATATTAAAAGAATTTATATTTATATATAATTTAAATTATATAATAATTTTATATATAATATTTAATAATATTAAAATTAATTTAAATTAATATAATTTAATATATTAATATAAAATAATATTTTTAAATAATAAAAATATTATACATATAAATTATAAAATTATTATAAAAGTTTTATATAATAAATTTAATTAAATTAATTTTTAAAAATATATTTTATTTTATTTTTTTAAAACTTTAATTATTTATTTTTAATTTAATAATAAAATTAAAAAAATATAAATAATTTATAATTAATAAATTTTATAAAAAATTATTATTTTTTTTAATTTAATATAAAATAATTAATATAATTTTTTTATTAAATTAAATAAATATAAAATATTAATAATAAAATAATAAATTATTATATTTAAAATTTATATTTTAATTCATTTTTTATTTAATAAAAATATATAAATATTATTAAGTTTTAATTATTATAGAATTTTAATACTCTTTATATTAAGGGTGTAGGGGGGTAGGGAAGGCCTGCCCCCTGGGTAGGTAGTTCGCCTTGGAGTGGATGGACCTGGCTGGGAGCTCGTCATCGTAAGGGACCCCTAGGACGGTTTGGAATGGGAAGCTTGTCGATCCCACCCAGCAGGCCTGTAAATCGTGACCATCCTGTCGATGTCAGCAGCCAGCCCGTCAAGGCTACCAAGACACATCAGAATCTTTGACAGCAGGGCCTTCTCTTCGGCCATCGGTGACAGCGTCTGGTGGGCTCTCTTCACAAAGGTCTTGGCTCGCTCGTGGCGGATGCTCCAAACCCGCGGGAAGAATTCCTCGATCTCCTTGTCCGATATATTGTCCAAGCTGCCGCCTCGGCTGTCACGCTTCTCTCGTAGCATGTTGACGAGAGACGCAGCGGACTCGATGGCGTTATTGCCTCCCTGCACGCCGATAGGATTTGGTTTGTGGGCGGCGCCGCCTAGGAAAAAGACGCGGCGGAAGTGCCATTTCTCCATGACATCTTCGTTCAATGGCGTCAGAGTTGACGAGATGCGCCTTTCATAGACCTGGTCGAATGATATTCCCGGGTGATGTGGCGGTGCTCAAGTGAGCGTTGGCCTTGATGAACAGGGCCTCATCCTCTTTCATATCCTTCGGGATGGACTTGCCATACTTCGTCTCGGGCAGTCGGTTGAAGAAGAACCAGTACAGCAGGCTGTCAGGGCCGGATATAGCATCTGCGAGGCTCCAGCCGATTGAGCCATGTCAAAGTGTCCATAGTTCCGATTTGGTAGGCCTTTTTCAATGCCGAACTGCACTTATAGTAGCAGGGGATCCTGTCGAGTTCCTTTGGGTCAAGATAATCAGGTTAATCTCGCTGGCAGGGCGGAACATTTCTGCCCTGACAATGCTCAAGCTGTATATCCCGTCGGCGCGGCGACTATGCTACCTTTGAAAATGTAGCCGTCGTTGGTGAGAACCTTGACGCCGCCGGGAACGAGCTTGACCTGCGAGCTTGACCTGGGAAACGGTCCGATGGCCCAGCCTGAAGGCAAAGCATTAGCGATCTAGTAGGAAGCAGATAAAGAAATGCAGAGAGTTCCTAGATCTTTTACTTGCCTCTGTTCGAGGTGAGGCATGACATCTGTCGATTCTGAATCGTTTTTCGTTTTGCCATTCATCAGCAATGTGCATGTCGCTGGGACTCAGGCAATGCCTTGATGTCTTGATAGCATCCGATCTGGTCAAAAATGCGCAGACCGTTTGGACAGAGGCCCATACTTGCGCTAACGTCAGGAGCGATATTTGCATGTGGTTCAAGCGAGACATAGTCAATGCCGAATTTCTCGAGGATGGCTGCCAATGCGAGGCCGGCAATACCGCCCCCGGCAATGATGATTTTGAATGCCTTGCCTTGCGCCCTGACAGATTGGATTTCGGGGGTGCGGCCGAATTTGGACAAGCCCAGAGATGTCGGAGCTAGCTGTGAAAGAGGAATGAACAGAGGTAAGAACAGAAATGGAGATCGCATGGGAACGGGCTCATCAGATGGAATGAATGAGGTGCCTCGAGTGATCGATCTGAAAACGTCCTGAAAACATACTGAAAACACGCTGCTCGATGACGGTGAACTTATGAGTGAAGCTTCGTGATGCCCACCGAGTTGCTACTGGCCTCGGCGCTCAGACTACGGACGAGCCCCCGAGTGGGGAGGGGGTAGACGGGCGGCACGGGCGATCGGGACAAGCTCAGCTTGGAGCCAGGGGCCTCTGGAGATCCGGGGCTACTCCCGATTTGAGGCCCGACAAAAAAGACGGCAAGCCCCAGGCGGCAGACAGCCTTTGAAGGGAACTGACCGTGAGTATATAGATATCTAGATGGCACAACATGTAGTGCCCACCTGAGCACAGAGCTATAGACATGGACAATGACGACGCTACATGTCGTCACCGGCAACAAGGCTCAAGGAGGTCATTAGAAAACTCATCTGTTTGGGATGGGACATAGAAGTTTACTTGGTTTACCGGGACCGGGCCACCGCAGCACGGAGTACGGAGCACCATGTAGAGCAATCAGAAATCGTGTATTAACCAGGGCTCCTGAGGACTCACAAGAGTATTTCATTACACTGGCAGTATGTGACTGGCTTACAGGTTTTCTGGTGGTCAAATTTTTGACTCCCAAAACACACGAGATTTGCAAATCCCTGCGGCCCAGACAAGCTATTGACCTGCCCTGCCTGGCCTTGAAATGGTTCTCCAACATGACCGGTTCGTCAGCATGGGCGATGACATAACCGTGTAGAGCAGGAGAATGAACGAGTCAAGACGGGCCCGAAGGCTGGGGTGAGGCCATCCACAGCCATGGCCCCTTGTGGAAACAGCCAAGAGGGCGACGAGCAGGGAGTCTTCAGGCGCCAAGCAAGATGGGCGGAAGCCGAGGGGCTTGGGAGGCGAAGATGGCCGCTGATTGACCGAGCGAATAGCGACCAAGGCGAGGACATAGCCAGTCACCCAGTCACTCACTCAACCACCGAGGTTCGTGCCACGCCGCCCGGCCGCCCGCCCGTCTAGGACTGTGTAAGTATGTAAGTCAGTAAATAACAAGTACTTCGATGGTCTGCACATCTGGAAGATCAGCCCCCACCTGGTCTCCAGGCATCTGGCCATGACTGCCTGCCCAAAGAAGGTGAAAGCAAAAAAGGGCGAGAGAAGAGAAAAGAAGAAAACTGGATTGATTCAGGGTTCCAGGCTGGAGCCCAGTAGGGGGGCCACCCACGGGGCCACCTACCACTACACGCTGCTGCCCATAGGTGCAATGCTGGAGGAGGCGTGCCCAGGGTGGAGACGGGCAGGCCAGTTGACCGTTTTTCCTGGGTGCTCCGACCACTGGGATACCACTGTTGGAAAAAACGGGGATCAACGGGTCAAGGTTCTACTGCCTACTCCACTTGTAGTATAGTAGGCTGGACAGAGAGGGCCACCGTGCTACGCAGTACTACCGTCTACACGCTCTAGTGTGGTCGGCCGACCCTAGCGGCCGACTTTATCTGCTTCCCCGGACGGGCTTCTCTCGCTCTTCGCTGTCTTTGATCTTGACCTGACTAGTAGACCACAGTACGGGGACTACTTGGTGACCAGACCAGAACTAAAACTTGGTTTCTGTCCCATCAGTCTGGTACCACCCAGGAGGTACCAAGTATCTACACGCCATAGTCTGTTCGGCTGGTATTTTACTCTGCTGCCCCCCCCCAAATCACCTCCTCCGCCTCCATCTCCAACCTGCCTGCCTGCCTGCCTGCACGCACCTCACTCGTTGTCACCACCATTCACGACCGTTTCTGCCAACGTCGGCTCTCCCCAGCTGACGGCCAACAAACAACCCAGTTCAACTCAACTGGTACGAGCGGAATCCAACACAGCCGTTTGTTTGTCCATACGTCTGTCGCCAACCGCCGCCGCGCCGCCTCCCCCCTTCCTCCTTAACGAGGCGCTCCCCCGCCCCATGATGGCAGATGACCGTGATCGCAACCACGAGTTCGGCCACGACATCGATGTCGACAGCAACGACAGCTATGACGAGAGGACACAGGGCTGGGTGCTCGAGCTAGAGTCCATATACTCCCTCGGCGACCCTCCCAGCGCCCCGCCCTCCGAGTTTGGCGGCTGGCAAGACGACATTGTTCCTGCCGGTTCCATCAGCACCCGCGACGTGCGCCTTCCCGGCACCGCAGGCCGGCAGCACCAGTCCTCGCAGCCTCTGCCTGGTGCCGCCGAGTGTCTCGACTTCAAGAAGACTCGCAACGGCCGATTCAAGCCCAACAAGCAGACCAAGCTTCGAAACAGCCTGCTGGGCGCCGTCGGCTTCCTCGAGGCAGCCAACGCGTGTGATTTTGCGGCCAACGTGTGGAATCAGACCCCCGTGCCTCGCCATGTCCTTGTGCTCATGGGGCTGGGCGGTACTGCCGCCCTGGGCATGATCTACTTCTGTATCAAGGACGGGCGCCTGAGTCTCGCCAACCTCCGCGCTCTGAGGGAGGAGCGCCGCTACCTGAAAAACCAGCGCCCGCTGTATCTCGACAAACCCAACATGCTGCGCACGATCGACTGCTTCCTCGACATGAACACAAGGGAGAGCGGGACAGAGATGGTCGACCGCATCGGAAGCGACACACTACTGGGCATTTCCGCGTTCATGGTCGGTATCGGTACATATATGGCTATGGATGGGAACCATGACAGCGCCAACTATAGGGCGAGCAACCTCTTGACTGGGTATATCGGAAACACATTTCCCGCCATCTTCGGAGTAACAAACCTGCTGTGGTCCAGCTACGTCTTTGCGCGGGCCAGAAAGCAGCAGGCCGCAGCCCTCAACTACGTCAAGGGCTCGACTAGGATCTCGTCGATGCTCAAGAACCGCACGTCCAGCATCCAGTTCCATGCCGCCCTGAACGGCATCACGGGTATCGTCGCCGGTGTGGCTGCCTTGATAACGGCCACGCAATGGTGGGCCTATATCCTCCTCGTGCCCTGCATCATCACCTCAGGGACCGTCAACATATTCTGGCGCAAGCGGGTCGGCTACGAGCGGCCTTTTGTGCTAGGCCAGATATCGTCCATCGACGAGGATACCGTGTTTGAAGCCTTGAGATACGCAAACGACTGCCATAGAAGGGTACTGAGAGTCAAGGCGTCGGGGGAAAGCGACGCCTTCTCGTCGCTCGTGACGGACCCAAACTCGCTGATGTGCGCGCTCGACGTCATCCGGAAGAACAATTTGTTCGAGGACTTCTGTCTTCGGGTCCTTCGGGACAAGGACCTGTCAGGCAGGCTGTTCGGACATGCCGCTTTCGCCGCGAATTCGTCGGTGTACGGGCCCACGATAGACTGGCACAGTCTAGCCGAGACGCGGGACGAGGTGCTGATGAAGCTGCTCCTGCAGGTCGCAAAGGACCTGCTGAACCAGGACGCCGCAAACTGCTTCAAGTACCAGGAAAGGCATTTATTAGAAGTCCTTGGCTGCTATATGTGCAGAGGCGCACAATTTGGGAGGTCTAAAAAGGCCAAGGGCAGGAAACCGCCGTCGCAGCGCGTTCAGCAGACCAACGTGCATACCTATGCTGGGAGGCACGCCAACGACTGGCTTTTCGGGGGTTTCTCGCTCACCAAATCATTAAAGAAGGTGTTCCGAGGCTAAGTTTATATAAGGAGGGTATATATTGGCCATGTTAATCGTAATTATCGCACGGGCTCGGTAGCATTGTTGGAGTTTGTGGTGTTGTCTTGCACGGTTGGATTCGCAATCACAGCGTCGAGCGCATATCGCTTGTACCTACCCTGGTTTCTCTGACGGGAGAAAATGAGAGAGAGGGAGAGAGACGAGGTGAGGAACGAATTTTACGAGCCAGATAAAGGGTCAAATAAGACATTGTTTGTAGTCAAACCAAGCCAGCAACCCCTTGATAGTTGAAACAAACTCGACTGTATGGAATGGAGCCGGCCAGCCGCATTGAGTTGCTTCGGAGCGTTTCCTTATCGGCGCCGATAAGGACTGGAGCGCAGTCAAAGCTGTCCTCTTCCGCGCCGACGGCAACTAATAAGTCAACCAGGTCAACTTACAACCACCACACTCCTTTCGACCCTTCTCACTTTCCCTATACCGACAATCCCAAGCAAGAAGCCCGCAAGAATCCCACGCTGTGCCTGTCCTTCCACCAAAAGCAGATAGATACAGGGCACGATATTGGAAACAAAATAAAAAAGAAGAAGAAGAAGAAGAAGAGAGAGAGGCCTGCGAGAAACCAGCCACATACCACCGCACAAAGCGACCGCTCTCTGCCACTGGAACAGGCACGGAGAGAAACCAGAGACCGTCGTCACAATGTCCGCCGACCAGGACACCTTCACCTTCCTGCCGCTGCACATGGACGCGCAGTCCAAGGCGATAAGCAGCGCGCACCCCCCGTCGTCGTCACGGGCCCTGGCGCAGGAGCTCGAGACGCTGAACGCGCTGCACCGCTCGCTGCTGTCGCTGGAGCACCCCGCGGTGGTGCCGCCGCCGCCGGTGCCGGTGCACCCGAAGCGGTCCAACAACATCACCAAGCTCAAGGAGAGCGGCAACAAGGCGTTCAAGGAGGGCAAGTACCAGGAGGCGATCAAGTTCTACACGCTCGGGGTGCAGATGGCGCTGACGAGGCCCGCCTGGGAGCCCATCGGGCTCATCCGCGACGAGAGCGCCATGCTGCTGTCCAACCGCGCCCAGGCCCACATGGAGCTGCGCGACTGGGTCGAGGGCTCCGCCGACGCCGAGTGCAGCGTCGAGGCCAAGAAGGTCGGCAACCCCAAGGCGTGGTACCGCCGCGGCAAGTGCCTGTACGAGATGGGCAGGTACGAGGAGGCGAGGGAGTGGGTCGGCAAGGGCCTCGAGATGGAGGGCGAGGACGGGGAGCTCGCCAAGCTGCTGAGGGAGATCGAGGCCAAGCTGCCCAAGTAGGGCGGCGCGGGGGATGGTCTTGGGAGGGTGGAATCCGGGGTGTGTTCACGGCTGCTAGGGAGGGCAGGGGGAGGGGATGGAACAAGATGGAACAAGATGGTGGTTGCAGTCGCACCAAGGTACACTCAGACATGGTAGACTGGCGTACCCACAACTCACTGGCCGGGGGATTTGCAGTTCGAGGCGTTTGGCGTCACACTGGGCAGTTGTCCCCGTGGAGGGGAGGTCGACTAATCCTTGATTGTTTTCGATAGCAGCAGCAGTAGCAGTGCTCAAATGCACGATGATGCCGACAAGAGGCGTCCTGGTGTTCTCCAGTCGTGTCACCAACTTCTGCACAGACCTTTGGATACGTCTCGCTGGGCTCGTCAACGTCGTACGAATTGGGGGGAATCGCGACTTGGTTTATGCTATTTGAAAAATCCCCTTTCGTCCTAACCTAACAAATGTGATGGTTCCTGGCTGAACCGTTTTGCCACGCTGAGCATTTGGCGAAGCACTTCCTCCGCCAAAAAAAAAAAAAAAAAAAAGAACACGTCCCAAGATGACTGGATACAAAATGGACCACACGCCTGTCTTCTACTAGGCAGGGGAAATGCTGGGTTCCGCGCAAATTTCCCTGCACCGTGGGATAATAAAATGGTAGACCACCGGTCGTTCCGGGTGTGGTGATGAACAACGAGCGACGAGCAGGTGGGGGAGTCTTGTGCTCATCCCGATTACCGCTGGACAGGACGATGCCCCCTCCGAATAAAGCCTACTCCAAACTCCGGCGATGCTTCTGGGCCACCTCCTCAGCTTCTCCTCCGGGGTATTTATTTCCTTTTCGACACGAGTTGCTGGCTCGGTCCCGAATCGCCGAGTGTCGTGGTGCCATGATCGCAATGCATGGTTCGCAGTCCGTGATGGATCTTGTCCGCAACAGCCTCGATTTCCGGTGGGCTGGCGTTCCAATGTGTTGACGCAGGTGCTTATTATGCTGCTGCCTCCTTCTCATTGATGCTCTTTTGGCTGACTGTCGAGGTTGTCCGCTTCCGCATGACGGCATCCTGCGAAGACATCCTCCGGTCCAGGGCGCGCTCGAGCTTGGCGCCGAGGGCCAGCTTCTTCATCCTTTCGCTCTGGTCCTCGTCGAGGAAGACGCGCTGCTGAGTGAGGGCCTTGTTTTCCATAAGGCTGAGGCGCTTCTCGATGTCGCTGATCTCGGCGATGGCGCTGTCGGTGGGGTGCAGAGAGGGAGACATGGAGTAGGTGCTGTAGCGGACGGAGGCACGGGACTATTTTTTGTCTTGTCGTCAGCGAGAGGCAGGTTGCAGAGCAGTGAGGAAAGTGATGTATCTGAGAGGAGGGTGGGATGATAACAAGAACAAAAACGACAACCACATTTCCGCTTGCGGCGACCGTGGGCAAGCCACAGCGACGGATGGAATGTGGAGGGCATACACGAGATGGGGCTCAGGGGGGTGGTGATAGGCAGGCGCAGTGTTGCGCCTGTGTAGAACGAATGATGGTTCACTGGGTGGCCCCATTGACGATCGGCAGAAATTTGAGCCAGGAGGTGACGTACCGAAGGCGCCATAATTGGGCGAGAGGATTCCAGAGAAGTGGGCATCGTGCAAGGCCAGAAGAGTCGCGAGTGGTGGAGGTGTGAGTGGTGTACGGTGGGTGGGTGGTCTTAGTCTGGTGCGCCGCGTATGGTTCTTGCTGGGGGGGAGGCACTGGCGGCTGGGGGGAGGGATGAGGATGCCGGTACGAGGGTGTGTGTGAGAGAAGGGGATAGACAGATAGATAGATAGATTGGGTCGAGGGCCAATAATGCAGAGAACGATTGAAGGAAGAAGAAAGAAGTGGAGGGTCAGAGTCCGGGGGGAAGAGAGAGAGAGAGGCTGCAGGTAGGTGGGTGTGTGGGTGGATGGGCGGCCGGATGGACGGGGTTTGTCCTGCGTTTCAAGTGTCGACGGGCTCTTCTCTCCTTTATTACTCCGTACTGTCTGTGGTGTGGTCAAGTTCGGATCAGTTCAGGCGCAGCGGGCGAGCAGCAGTGGGTGGGGGCGTCCTACCACAAGTACTGCGTAGCATGCGGGTTGGGGCCGAGCCGGGTAGAGGGCGTATACCCCGTATATCTAGATTCGGGTGGAAAGGGGAGGGAGATTGGGAAACTGTGATTGTGGTTTGAGAGGTGTTGGCTGGCAGGGTGGGCTGCAGGGTGGGCTGCTGGGCTGGCTGCTGGGCTGGGCTGCCGTCCGTTGGCCCTTTGGCAGCGCCCTGCTGCACGGGCAGACAACGGCAAGGGGGACGGGAGTCACCTTCTGGGCACCACCTGGCACCAAAAGCCTGTGGGCCCTTTTTTTGTTTTCAGGAGGCAGACCCACGGGCAGGAGGACCCACGGGCCTGGGCTGGCTGGGCGCTGGAGGGGCCCATGATTAAAACGTACCGTCCGAGAGCAGCGGGCCCAGACAGTCGCAACTCGGGCGCGTGGCAGCAGGGATGCACCAGCACGACTCTGGCTGCACGATGGACGCAGGCCCAGAGATGCATGTCACTCATCCATCACTCACGTCTGGTCTCCGCTTCGGCTTATTCTTCTTTAGTGCCCGCCCCGTGCCACCAGCCGCCTGCCAGACAGGCTGTGCCGGGCGGGCAGGCGGGCAGTCGGGCAGTCGGGCTGTCAGGCTGTCAGGCTGTCACAGGCCGTCAGACCGTCAGACCGTCAGACCGTCTGTCCTATCTGCCTTGCGAGTGTCTCGGTTGGGATCTCGGTGCTACATGCCGCCAGGTTGTCCAGCAACGCGGCAGGCATGAGCCAAAGTGGGGTTGGTGCTGTGTGAAGGACACTGCAAGGTTTGGCCTACTGTCTGGACAGTTAGTCAGTCGGTCGGTCAGTCAGTCAGTCAGTTGACAAAGGACAGCATCCTCCTCGCCCTCTGCAACAGCTCTGCAACAGCTCAACTCGCAACAATGACTCGACCCAAGCCAGACCACCCCGTGGGACCGACCTACCGACCCCCTCAAGACATGGCGTCTACGGCCAAACGTTATCTGGGTCAGCATGCACGATCTGCCACCCGCCACGCGCATGCTGTCAGCTCACCAATGAAACATGACCACACCCTCTCTCTCCATCCTGGGCCCTGAGCTCTGAGCTCTGAGGGACTGAGATGTTGAGCACCCGACACTGATCCCACGGTGCTGGGTGAGAGTGAGCAGCCGCGGCCCAAGAAGAAGACAAAAAGGCCAGGCAGCCCCAGGCATCCCCAGGCAGCCCCAAACGTTGAGTCGTTAGCCGCAGCCGACCCTGAGGGCCGTGGGCGCGGGCAACCCCGTCCACTGATCCCTGTCTCGCATTAGGAGCACGTGGCCCAACATGCCGTCCCACCCAGGGCTGCCAGGGCTGCCAGGGCTTACCACGACAGAGCAGCGACCACGGCGGCACATGGAATTCAATGCATGCGTGCGTGTGCATCATCAGCCACCCCGTCGGGAGCTACCACCACCACCATTCGCCGCCCCTCCGCCTGCGTGCATGCAACCAAGCTCCTGCCTCATTCTTGCGCCGGTCCTGCACGCCAACAACATCGCGTCCTTCCTCCGCAGAGTCCAACCCAACCACCACTTATGTTCTTGCAGCCAGTCTCGCGGGGCCCCCCCTCGCGTTCTAGATCTGCTGGGCTCTGCTGATCACGGTCAAAGCGACCAACCGTGCCCCTTGCACTGCATGTGATGAAGCATGGACGCCAGCCGCCAGCGTCTCTGCAGCAGAATCCAATTGCGGCCTGTTGCATCCACATGGCAGCATGGACAGCCAGCCAGCCAGCCAGCCAGCCAGCTCTGCCCCGCCAGCAAGACACGCCATGCGCATGCACATTTGGGAATTCGGTCCCTGGGCTCTGCTGCCAGATAAACTCAATCCACCCCCCATGTTGCATTCCTCGAGGCTGACCGCGTCAGTCCCAGCCCGGGCAGGTTGCCCGCCAATGCCGTATGCTAATCACATCTGCCCATTGTCGTTCCATTTTCCTGAGGGGCGTTCTGCTTCTTTCCCCCCCACGCGCCTTGTCCCTCGGGCCTTCATTGGTTTGCTACACTTGCTTGGCGGTGCGCAGAGCAGTATCTTGAAACTATTCGCGCAATCCAGACGGGGAATTTCATCCATCGATCCTCCGGGACGACGCAGAAAAAGCATAGTCGCTCCACATCTTTTCAGATCGGCAAACCTGCCTACCTGCCTACATGAGTGAGTACGAGAAAGAGAAAAAAGAAAAAGAACTACTGGAAATGAGCTATCAACAGCAGCAGGTTGACTCGCTCTGCGCAACCCGGACTCGGAAGGTCTGCCCCGTCGACGTGGCCAGGAGCTCATACCGACGGTTTGCGTGTCCCGGCCGCCGTCCGCACCCATCGACATGCTAGGACCCTGGATGATTCATCCTCTGTCGTAAACACTAATGCAAGCTGAGAGACAGCCCCCGCCGTGCGACCTTGACGCCGTGTCGGTTCGTCACCATTGGCCCGGTGCTCTTTGCGTCTTACTAAGGCACGCAGCGGTGTCATCCATCGGGGATGCTCTCTCACCGTTCTCGGCTCGGGTGCGTGTTCAGATCCTCTGGATCCCCCGAAGGCGTCCGCGCACACGTGTTGCAATACACACTGTCATCGATCCTCTTGCAGCACGAGTACAGCCGCAGCACTGGCCACGGGATGGTGTGATCACTTTGGACCACTTACGGTCTCTGGCCTTCCTGGTTCGAATTGGACGAGGCCAGTGCATCGTTTCGCTTGGTCCTTTTGCTTGCATTTTTTCAGCCATGCCGACGGCCAGTGCTTTGGCGGCCAGTACCACCGCCTCAAGGAGGTAGTCATATTTAGACAGACACCGATGGCCTTGACTGGGTGCTCCAATGCTACGTGTCCTTCCATGTGAATGAAAATGCCTACATTTTCTCACTCACCCTTTTCAATGTAGACGGGTGTGGAGGGTGATCGAGACCGACAATGCGCTTTCACTAATAAGCAATTTGAGGGAAGTAAGGAACATACAGATCTGTGTCGTCACATCCTACGGGACCCTCCCCCGCCCCAACAGAATACCCTCGTCCAAGATGTCTTCAGTGAATCACACCAAATAAACTCCTATAATACACACTCTTATAGTAAGACCTCCCAAACAATCCTCTCTTCTTAGTCTATATTTAAACATCTTCCCACCTAGATACTAGACTAAAAGATTTATAATTATATTTTTAATTAAGCTTTATTTAATTATTTTATATAATTATATTTTAATCTCTATAAATAATTATAATTACTTTTTCCTTTAAAAGTAATTATAAGAATATTAATTTACTTAGATAGAACAGCTATTTTATTCTTATACTTTATTATCTAAGTAAATTAGGTTTTAATTTTAATATAGAAATCCTATACATAGAAAGCGATCAAGCTACAGAGGCAACAGGAGGTTTGCCGAGCACATAGAGCATATAACAGTGGCTGTTTCGAGTGACTTTCGCATTGACATGCTGTCCAAGGCTTCCGACCCTTTCGGGAATTTTCCCTGGGGTAGACTCAACCAAACAAATATCGACTGGCCCGCTTCAACCCATCACACAGTCGGGGGACCTGTGGAACTTGCCTAGGTTCAATGGACGAAGACGCTTGACAGCCGGAAATACCCTCCTGAGTAAACACAGACATTTTCTCGTGGATCGCTAGGAGAAGGTACCTGGGCACCTTAGAAATTCCTCGACTTGTGCCCAGGTGAGAGGCTAACGCAGTCATGTCAGAGTGGTATGGTTTTTCCCTGGTTTCATTATGAATCCGAATACATCACAAAGGCTCATGCGGCACATTCATACAGTGGTAAAAGCTCATAGCACTTGAGAGTAAGTAACAACATATCACATCGATGTGGAACTCAGCCTTTCGCCTATCTCACCCCCGACTGAATGTTTCCGTAAGCTAACAACCAGTTGAAAGGTATTGTATTGCCGCCCACAAGTAGTACCTATGTAGTGTTCATGACATATAGATAGAATACATCGTGCTCAAATGGCCTCTCCCTGGCACAGCCTAAGCTGATTGGTATGTCGCTCTATATCCCTGTCTGCTGGTATTTTTCGCTTTTTCGAGGCAGCTGGTTGGAAACATTCATAGCCTGAAAGATGAAGAATGCGTCTACTACATGAAAAAAGTACCTAAATACATAAACAGGGGACATAGTGGAAACATTACCTCACAAAATGTCCCAGTCACATCCAGTCTCACTTGGGTGTGTTCCACGTTCAGGTCACTTGGGGAGGAAGTCTTGGAATTAGATAATAGGAAGCATTATTATTATTAAAGCTGTAGCATTGATCCGGAGATGTTATTGCCCACTCCTGCTACAGATTTGGAAATACCCATTAGCAAAGGCTCTCGCGTGGCTTTTTGCAGAGCTTCCCTATTTCTCCTTATGTTTCCTCTTCTTGTGTCCCGAAGAGCTGCCTTTCGAGCTGTAATCCATCTCAATCCACTGATATCCCTGACTCGAGGACCCGCCATGCTTGGACGACTTTTGATGCTTGTGCTTTGACGAGCCGCCACGCTTTGACGAGCCACCGTGACTGGAGCCGCCTTGGTCCGAGGTAGCTGAAGAGGCAGGGTGTCAGTTGTTTCGGTGGTTTGACCGCTGTTGCAACACGTATCCATCAACTCACAATAAGGCGTGCAATTCCAGCAGCAGCAGTGATCGCACTTTGTTACCTGCTCCAACTGCTGCGTGATGGCATTGACCTCTGTTCTTGGGTTGTCGAAAGTACACCATCCCACATAATTTGGGCCGTTCCGGCACCTGCAACAAATCCAGCTGCCCCCGAGCTCTTCGAAGAAGCAGAGCTGGTTGGTACATTTTGATTCGGTGCCTATTTGTGCTGCGTACGTGGTGTTGTGACAGGGCGTGGTGACTCGTGTTGCTCCGTCAAAATGGGCTGCCACGCAGTGGTTGTAAGTCACCGAGGTGTGTTGGCACGGGTGCCTCTTGGGGTGACCAACGCACATGTTGGTGAGAGGTAGGTTCTAGGACCACAAGAACAATTTCACGGTTTCCTTGAAGACTTGTTCGTCATCCGAAATACCGTTAAAACAGGATGCTCCCCAGTTCTCCCCTTTCTCTGAGGTACGATGGCCGCCGTGTCTTCTTTATAATGCCTACGAGTTTGATCGTATGTGGTGATTTACACATTGTTCGTCTAATCAATCCCCTTCGAGCGTGCTAGATGCCAATCCGGCCGTTGGTCTTGCAATTTGGCGTCAAGAGTGCTCATCGACGGCTATCGGATACCTTAGATGGACCGCAATCTGGAGGCCGAGACTGCAATTGGCCACGTCTCTGAGGCCTCGGGAACGGCCAGCTTGCATGAGGATTGGACTGTTCCTGTCGTGACGGATCTACATAGGGGCGAACGCCGCGCTGCTTTCGACCCCATTGTTCTCAAGGTCAAAGGCGGCACTCGCGGTGGAGAAACACGCGACACGAAACCATTCTCAGATTTGGTGTTTCGGGACTCAGCACTAAAATACCCGCGACCGACAATTAAAACTTCCGCACGGCGTACGAGATGCTGCAACTCAAGGGATCTGGTACGGACGTGGGCACAGCTGCTGCTGCTCACGCAGACTGTGGCAGATTGCTTGATCTTGCACTGTTTCCGATGTAAATCTATGGGGATGAAGTCGAGCAGTAGGCTGCCGTCGTGCAACAGAGGACTCATGAGGCCTTGCCCCCTGGCTGATCGTGTGCGACTGTAGCTCGCAGTCTTGCACAAGGGTTTCTCACACACCTTTTCAGCTCGCCAAGCCATGCGGTCCCACAGCACCCAGACTCGTGGAAGACCAGGCTCCACCACATGGAGCCCTCGAGGCTCTCGCTTATCTGGCTTGCAACAAGCTACGGGGTGGGTGGGGGGAGGATCTCACACCGGTTTCTCACGGCCCCACGTGAGCCCCGGACCGAGAGAACGGATCCTCGAGCAGGGGATCCAAGTGATGTCAGACGGCTGAGGTCAAGGCTCTCTTTGTATCTGGCTGTCGGGCCCTCGACCTGGGTCTCCGAATATTGTCGGCACAGTTTACTTTTTTTCTGTTGAGGTGACACGAGACAAGGGACAGGTCATTTTCCGACACAATTCCGGATAGGTACTTGAGTACTTCCCTCGTGCTGGGGGCACCCACACACCGGCCGGCCCCCGCATAGAAAGCCAAGGAGAAGCCGATGAGGTTGACGGGAGGAAGATAACAAGAAGAAAAAAAAGTGAGGCGACAGGGGATATTAAAGGATGGTGTAAGTCAGCAAGGCAACAAACAGGGCGTACAGCGGTCAGAGCCTATTGATGGGATGACAATGTCCTGCACCGTTTCGATCTGCAATGCATACACGCATTATTCTTTCCTCCCTCCTAGCTATTTCCGGCCGCAAGCCAGATCTGAGTCTGACTGCATGCGTCTCGCAGATCCGATCTGTGTTATGCATACGTGCGGTGCCCCAGGACCACCGGCGTGTTCTGTGGCCCGGCCAATAAGAATCCCCGAGTCCAACGTCTCCGGTTCCCAGGCATTCGGGACCCACGGAGCCGCAATTCCTTGCTCTTCAGCACGACCAAAAGTGGACTCGCCCACTTTGGTCCGCGGCGGTTTTTCCTCAAGCGGTCATGAATTCGTCACAAGAAAGCCTCTTTTCGGTCACAGTGTTGCACATTCTCCCAAGAGTTTCCACACTATCGACACGCCACGGAGTGATACAGGCCAGGAGGATTTGTGCTCGACATTTCGACTGAATGGATGTGGTGCCTTGTAGTCACATTTCAGGTACGATGTTGATCGTTGAATGTTTCCCCATCATCGGCACTAAGAGATATGCTCTTCCATGATGCCTCTTCTCCAAGTCATACATACATCGGTCTGTGACTCAGCACTGACCGAGCCAGTTTGTGTGAACGCCACCATTCTGGTACTCGCCTCAATTGACCACTGCTTCTGACCCCGGACCCACCATAATCCACATATGTGTGCAGCAAGTGTGCCCTGTTGATCTTCCCATGAACAAGTAAAACCCTAATAGGCCCTCGGGCACACCAACGCCATGACACCAAGGCTCTTAACAGTCCCACCCTGCCCAGACATAGCAAATAGTCACGGTGGAAAGGGAAAAAAAAAAAAAAAGAAAAGATTAAAACATATTCGAGAGGAAAAAAGTAGGCTCGTCCACTGAGGTTGCCACTCCCCGACCCCTTCCTTTCGGCGCAGCCGCGCCTATCACATCGGGCCGGCCGGTGTGCACGTCTCGCAGCAGATGTGCTCGCACCACACCTTGTTCCCGTCGATGATCATGATGCAGCTGCAGCGGCCGTACTCGTTGAACCTCTTTCCGCACCAACAGCAGTTCCAGCACCGATTCCGCTGCTCGAAGGGGCAGTTGGGGAGTGGGCACTTGGGCAGCAGCGGGCTGCCCGCCGCCGCCGAGGGGCTCCCCTCGAAGCTGGGTGGCATCGGGTACGCTATCGACTGCGCCGTGAGGTTGCGGCACGGCTTACGCTTGGACGACGACGAAGATGACGATGACTTGCTGCTGCTGCTCTTCTTCTCCTTGTCTTTGCCCTTGCTGCTGCTGCTGTGGTGCTTCTTGCTGCCGTCCTTCTTGGAGGACTTTGATGACGAGCCCCCTGTTGAAGAGGATTTTGACGACTCGGCTGGGGCGTCGGCGCAGTAGACAATGTCTGTCCGCGTGTGCTCACACGGCAGAGTGTACGTGATTTGGTGACACATGGTTTCAAGTCTCGTGAATCCTTTGAGGAACTGTAGATCTCCGTGGTCGCCGATGTGAGAGAGGCAGATTCGAGGGCGGCGATGGTGTTACGACGAGTGATAGAACAGTCCAAGGTGATCTCTGTTCTCTATATGAGTAACTCCGTTCTTTATGGCCTCGGGTTGCTGGAGATCGGGGGTGGGCCCTTAAGTATGAAAGTGTCGTTCTGTGGGGTTGGGATGACAGCCGCTGGGGTTGTAGAGTGGTTGCTCTGACCGTCTGATGTGACAGGATGCCATCCCAAACCACCAGGCCGAGTATCGACGACAGGGCGATTTATATGTCGTGGTCATACCGGTCAGCTAGCTGAGACCGCCGCTGGGTCTCCGCATATAAGCATCTTCAGCTGTCGTCGTGTCATTGCTCGTCAGTGGCTCTCCGTTCCCAGCCAGCCGGAGTGGGATGGGTTCTCAACAAGTGCCAGGGGTGGCCGATCAATAGATGACGAGGGCACGTCGTCGAGGACCTTCGATGTTTCTCGACAGCTCGTGTTATCGGATTGGCCAAGCCGATTTGGAATTCCTTCTTCTTAGCCCGGCCACTGTTGGGCATGTCCCGACCTTCTGGGCGTGGACTCGATTCGGCACAAAGGAGAAGAGGTTGCGACGGGATATTGGGGGGAGGGGAGGGGGTGTGTGGGGCCACGCGGTGATCTTCGCGGGTGACAGACGCCTCAAGGAGAGGGAAAGGGGCCACGGGGAGTTCCCACGGAGACGGATCCGTATGGTTGAGGGTTGCACAGAAACATTTTGCTTTAAGATTTTCCCATCTGCCTGGGTGCCCACCTTCATACGTCCCGCGTCCCGGCTGTCTGGTCCCCTACATCCTAGCTTCTCAAATTTCCCAATGGCTTTCACAGCCTCATCGAATAGTTTATGCGAATACCCCACCCAAGCCGAAGCCACTTGGCCGCGCCGGTGTTGCTCATTGGAATGTTCAGGAACCTGGCCTCGTGTGGCACAAACGCGTGTTGTTCAGCTGACCACATGCCCTGCCGCACTCCCCTGCAGGAGGACCCTGGGCTTGCAGGTTTACTTTTTCCATCCCGCCGGATCTCGCTTACGAGATCTTGCAGCCCGATGCCGATTTGGAAAAGCAATCCTTCCGATCCCAATAGAGATCGAACAGCCCAAGTATGTGCGTAATATCACCCATAGATCTCCAGCCCGCAGATGCGGATCTTTTGTTTTCCGGAACACAGGAAGGAAGGAGAAAAGAAAAAAAATGAAAACATAAGGAAGGAGGCCGCGAGGGGGAAAAGAAAAAGGCTCCACCACTGATTGCCTCGTGTGTGCTTCTGACCCGGCCCAACTCGCTTTTGTTACCCCAATCGTACACCAGCCTCGGAATAGTTCAGGCGAAGCCTTGATGACTGGTATTTCCATAGAAAGAAGACCCAAAGGAAAAGAAAAACAACCAGAACACATCGTCGATACGTCACCGGCCGGTTCCAGCTCTCCCTGCCCCAGACTCAGCGGCCACATCCGGTTCGCAGCCCAGGCAGCACTTGTGGTAGCAGAGCGAGTCTGGGCTCTTTTTCATCGGATGGTAGCAGACCGGGTAGGTGTTTCCGCCCAAGCCGCAACGGCAGCAGACCCAGAGACCGTTCAGCTCCTCCAGCCGGCACGCACCCCGGCTGCACTTCGGGCTGGCCAGGCACCCGCCACTGGCGCACGGGTTGTTGAAGTCGATACCCAGGCTGCCGCTGTGCTCGTCAAAGTAGGACGTGTCCGGGCAAGCAGACCAGGTCTGGAAGGCTTCGTCAAGAGTGGCGGCCGGACAGAATACATAGTGTATCACAAACTCGATGTCCCTGGTGCATGGAGCACTGTGGTGATGATGGAGATAGTAGTAGATACACATGGTCGCCGTCTTCCCCGGGATAGATCTGGTGCGACGACGGGCACTGAAGTATTCCAAAGAGATGTTGTTGATGTTCCGGAGGAGGCGTACCTGCTCCTGTGGCGCTGGCGAGGTCTCAATCGGAAACCTTGTATGTTCCTGACGGTCTCGGCCTGTATGTCCCACGAGTGGCTTATCGAGGGGTTAGCGGGGGGGTATGGACCCGTGTGCCTGTGTGTGTGCCTGCGTATGTGGATGGGGTGTGATGTCTGTGGTTTGTGTGTCTGGACGCCTGGAGTATTCTGGCGTGGTCCTCTGATGACTCGGAATGTGAGGACTAAGATGGTCAGGGTGATGCTAGTCCACAGGAGGACGGTGATGGCGGCTGCTTCCGAGCACCTGCATCAGGTCAGTGTCCATTCGAGTAGGTGTAGATGGGCAAGAGGGGCGCACTTAGCCGAGACAGGGGCAGCTTGCAGGATGGTGGGCAAGTGCAGCTGTCAGACCGAGCAACGGCTGCAAGAAAAGGAGATGTGGTGTGGAAGAAGAGGCTAGGTTGATATTATATATCTCTTGGTCTGGTGACTAGTCTGCCACCGTTTTAGGAGTGGGATGATCCAGATAAAATATCAGGAGAGCGTGTGTGCCTGGGCTTGATCCTTTGGTGTGAAGAGGCTTTCGGTCGAATATATTCTGGGGAAAAGTCAGCCGGCGTCACTATGTCCTCGAAAACTGAGCTTCCACGGACTTAGCTCTTCCTGGATTGCATTTACACCGCGCTGGACTTGCTTATTCCTGCCTTCTCACGTTTTCGACTCCCTGTTGAACACAAAGATGCTATGCCCATGGCTCGGATGGAGAGACTCGGAGAGTATTTATACGAGTCCTCCGAAAAAAGGCCATGTCGAGGATCATTTGTATAAGGCCGCCAAAGCATGATCAAGTCCCGTTTTGCCGGGATGGAAAGCCCCCCCACCCACCTTATCCCGCTGCCTTATTTCGTGGTAGCCATGTGCTTGTGGTGCACAACGCAACGCCTTCCCGCCACTCTTCCATCGCATCGGTACCAGACTTTCGCATCCACTCGCAGCATCGAAGAGCCGGGCTGCAATAATTGGCCGCCACTGTCCAACCAGACTGCCACTGGAGTCCTCTGCACGTGGCTTTCTCGTGGTTTTTTGTCCGTTGCGGAACGGTGGGATGAGTACCGACGCGTGGAATTCTGATGGCCGGACTTTAACATGAGACATCTTGGAGTTACAGGACGTAAGACACCACGAGATATTCGGTGCCTCCTAAGTGCCTGAATATGAATGCCTTTATTCGTGATCTCCTTCGATCGTCAGATCCAGGCAGAACGTAAGCCTGGAAGACCCGATCCAAATCTGAATACGAGGTCCCTGTCAGTCACGCCGGCAAGAGAGGGGAGAAGGTGGGAGAGGGAATTACAGCAGCTCACGGGTCACTCATGGGCCGGAGTGCCTGAGTGATACGTGGGAATGAAGTACCGCCAGGGCCTGAAAGGAGGAGGGCTGAACACGCGATGTGGCTTGTGCCATGTAGGCGCCAGGCGCTCCTCCCACATATCCTGTCGCACCTAGGATCAATCACCCGAGTGGGTAGCAGCCCACCAAGTGCGTGCCTTGTCGAGGTTCCGGTGTATTTCAAATCCACAATCGCAGGCATTGTTCAGAGCTCGACGAAACCGCACGGTTTGTGGACGACCGTCCCGAAAAGGCTCGGAAGAAGTAGGAAGACCGAATAATGTCGTCACCCATTGTGAGAAAAAGCAAAAAGAGAGGCACATCTCCTGACCCGCTGGGTACTCAGCGGACTTCGGCGCCAGGCACTTAATGGTCTTCTGGGCAGTTGACCGTGCTGATTGATGTGCAAATCATTGCCGGGCGAACGTTGACGGCGACTGGCCTTTGAAAGTCTTCTGGTGGTGTCTCTCCATGTGCGCACTGCACGTCTGTCAAAGCGAGCCCATCCTTTTGCATCCACGCCGGGAGAAATGTGACAGGTCATCCTGTCAACCAGGTAGTGCGAAATTCGCCGTGTGACAAGGACATCTTTTGCGAACACGACGCCTGAGGTTGTGTGACGGCCAACCAAAAGCCACGCAACGCCAGTCGCCCTGCGCGAGCCTTCGAGAACGCACTTGTGCACGCCCCGTAAGCTTCTCGAAGCCGCGCGGCACCCTTCTGTGGTCTCAGAGCGACCCTTTTGTGTGTATTTCCAAACCTGTCGCGGATACCGGCGGCGACAGCTCGAGGAACGCACCGCGCTGCAGTCCCGGGTACCGATGCCATGGGTCCGATTCGATCCTAATCTCACTCAACGCAGCATCCTGCATATTGGAACGAAGAAGTAACGGTTAATGCATAGTTGACAGGTGTAAGACAGGGGTTGCTCAACTGACAGATGAATTGTGTGCCTGTCAGACCTCGAGCAAAAGACAGATACCGAGCATGTCTATTGGGGGAAAGGGTGGTACCAGATACCCGAGCAACAACGATCCAACCAAGTCTGAGTCAAGGAGTAAGGGCTTGGGTCTGGGTGCTGGAGGTCCAGAATTCGCAGGCATCTGTTCGGCCGAAATGGATGTATCAGGAACGTCACCATGCAGTGGACCCCTGAGAAGACGGTTACACGCGTAATCTCCATATCACACTGCATTCCAAATCCAGTCCACACCGGCCTCAAGTATTGGAAGATCAGTCCTATTTCGAGGCGAGCTGTATTACAATATCGAGGTGCCGTTGATAGCACCCTTGGCGGGAATGGCAGCGTGATTCGATAAGATACGGCCTGGAATATATCCGAGGCTGCCACACACGCCGGCATGTCTCGATTCATAGACACACAGCGGCCAGGTGTTCGAGCTCATATCTCCACAACAATAAACCTGTGGTCTTGACGCAGGGAGATCTAGTGAGATTTCGGAGGAGGCCGGTCCAAGAAAGCCGGGTGTGCTGGGCCGAGGCAGAGCGAAGCGTGCTACTGGGATCGTTGCCCCCGTGTGATCAGCCACATTGTACCACGTCAACTATCGATAACCTTTCAATGGCATCGGATGGCGTGTGTCGCCCCCAGGGGTCTAGACCGACGTGCATACAATGCTCCCCACACTGCAGCAGCAAGCAGAGGAACCTCATCTCCCACAATGGGATCAAGGGCTCCGGGGAACCTGGTCCGTGTGCGCGTCGCACCCAGGTCCGGCGCCAATGCATGTGCCGGAGTTACTTTTCCTTTGCTCTTTTCTTTTGTGTCCTCCAGGCTACCAACCGCGCTTTCCCATTCGGGTCTTCTTTTTCAGAAGCTCGCTGTATCGTGTTCGGAACTCTCTGAGACACCTCCACTCCGAAAGCTTGTCTCTGACGGGTCCAATCTCTGCAGGTAGATGGCTATTGTCTGGCTTGTAAGGGGGATGTCTCAGCGCATGGTCCTTTCAACACGACCTTATGATATACGAGACCCTGGAAGCGATCGCAGGATCGGGAATTGCTTGGCAATAACCCCGAATCTCCTATCACCCGCCCAATCCGGAACCGTATGTCCGACTGCATGTTGCAGCTGGGCTTGAGTGAGATTCAAAGCCCGCCCGAGCTGTGAAGTTGAGCTCGGCCCCACAGCCTTGGACAACCGTGTAAGATGATTGGTTTCCTTTCTGACCAACACCACCCGGTAGCCCCTACACCATCACACTTCACCTGACCAGGCGCGAACCTCAACAGTCGGCATTAGCCTGGTTCCAGAAACCCCGGGCCACATTAGCGAAGATGTGCGGCCGCCTTGTGTGAGTTGCGGGCCGCATAGAGCGCAGAGGATATCATAACACGATCCCTCTTGCACAATATGGTGAGAGCCAGCTTGTTCGGAACTCCTGAAGGTCGTCGCGGGAATAAAGATCCTGGCAATGTGCGTGTTCGCTTCCATGGGCATGAGCCACGCCAAGACACGGTCCAGAAAGGCCGACCTCTCCAGAGTCCGACCGGCTTCGCAAGCCAGCGGCATTTGTCTTCGCCGTGATGACCACAGGTTTGCGGCTTCCCCTCGTCTCAGGGCGCCAGACGCAGTCGAGCCGTGGATCGACAGCGGTGAGTCAAAAGGCGGGAATTTGCAAAGATGGGGACAGACAAGGGTCATCGCTGTGGCGCTGCGTGGGCACCATGCAGACTTGCTTTTCCACGACCATTCGGCAGCCATAAGACCGAATCAGAACCAACCTCGCCCCCAACCTCAGCCACGCTGGAGTGCCGAGTGGACCAACGCGCAGGACGGGGCACATGAATACGGCTTGCGCAAAGAATAGCAATTCTCATTTGCATAGCGGGATACACCCCCTTCAATATACAGATCTCGGCGAGAAAGAGGTGAATTCATGGTCTCAGCCGCCCGGACCCCACCGACGAGGAGAGACACGCCCCGAAGCACTGGGGCTGCAGTCGAGAAGCCGCCACGCCGCCAACACACAACAGCAGAGAGTCTTGACCAACGCCAACCCCACATTCCGAGATGGCACTTGATGTGAGGCTGACATCCAAAAGTCTTGATAAGAGACATAATCAGGGCCTGCCGAGGTCTTCTCGGATGGGTGCCTTCAAGCATAGTCAAGCCATGCCGTGGTGGCTTTGCGGTAGGACCCGTCTAGCCAGACCCGTGACCACATCCATCGTTGTGGCGGTCTGCAGGGCGGAGCGTTCCGAGCGGTTAGCGCTCTGGGCTGGATGCAAAGTGTGGAGAGGCTATATTGTCATTTTGCTTCGGCCACTGCTGTAGGGATGCATGATGCTTTTTCCCCCTCCGTTTGCCGGTCTGGCATCTGACAAGCTGGCAAATCGATAAGTGCTTTGCCTTGTCTTCTGAACTGTTTTGGCAACCTTGATAATATGCAGCATAGTAGTCCGTTGTTGCGTACGACGCATATTGAATTGATCCATTTAAGCCTCTAAAGCACCTTCCTGACGCGGGCCACCTGTCAATGTGGCCGGTACACAATGACTGCGAGAAGAGTGAAAAGAGACACTGCGTTGTGCGCATGAGCACAACGGCAGTCGCAGGGTTCGCAAACTGAATCCCGTTTCTAGGCCTTGGGCATAGCAGGCACACAAATCGCACTGCCAGGCCGCAGCAACTCACAGCTTATACCCTCGTTGGCCGCCTTCAGCTTCTCCACGTCAATGCCGTGCATGGTAGCGATGCTCCAGCACGTCTCGCCTCGCTGGATCTGGTGGCCGTGGCTGCCATGGTCGCAGTGCACCATATGCTCAGAATTGGCCATCCAGCCGAGGAACCAGAATACGCCCATCAGGAACAAGGCCAGGATGAAGAAGAAGTTCAGTAGAGGCATCAGTTCGGCGCGCCAGTGCCTCTTCATAGCATCGTCAGTCCACCTCTGGCTCAAGTTATTGCGTGCAGTCGCGTGGTCGAGGAAAGGCTCCGCTGCCTCGTTCTGGTCGTAAGGGGGTGGAGCATCGGCGTCGCCGGCTTCGACGTCGATGTTCTCGAGGTTCGACGGGGGCTTCGGGGCGTCTGCGACCTTGGTGAGGTGCCCGTAGCGACAGCCTGGTGGACCCTCCCAAGTTCCATCTGCGTCGCGAAAAGTGTAGACCTGGGTATCGGCGTCGTAGCCTACACGGACCATGCCTTCGGGAAGGCGCTCCTCATCGGTATCCAGTTCTTCGTAACGAGACGGCATCGTGGGCTGATCTGGTCTTGTCTGGTCTGGTCTGCGCGGGTGAGCCTGTTGTCCCCTGGGCTCTGAATGCTAGTCGGCTGAAAAGCGATGGGTAGTTCAAGAGTTGGTCTATTTGCGGTTTCGTTGAGATGCAGGTTGATGGGAAGCGTTGATGGATGAGGGAGCACAGGTGGCGATGCGCGGGGGATAAAAGGAGGTCGAGGCGAGGTGACGTTGGTTTGGGGGTGGTGGAGCGTTTCAGTTGGGGTCTGCGCCACAGGCCGAATGACATGCTCCCGGCCAGCCCGCTGACGTTGGATGAGGCATGAGGAGGCCGTTGATTAGTGCGTATTTGACTGCATCGGGCCATACACAGGATCCTCGGCATGTATATCACTGCTTCACTGCATTACTGTATCACTGCTGTTCTTCTGTTTTTCCTCCGGAGTGTGTGGGTTCATCAAACACCAGGGCGGGCATTCTCCGCCGTTTGTTTTACAAGGCTAGGGGAGCCTACACGAATTATTACCTAGGTAGCCTCCGTCTTTCTGTTAATCCCGTCTCCTTTCCGTCCTCGATCACTCAATCACTCGCTCACTCGCCCACCCCGACCCCAGAACGCGTCCAGGGTTGGCTGAGGTCGAACCATGAGCTTTTGAGGGGCTGCTTTGGGCTGCTTGGCCCTGCCCATGCCGCCCGTCCCGTGCCGTCTGTCGTTTGCCGTTTGCCGTCTGCCGTTTCCTCGCTAACAATGTCTCGCCCTGTCACCACGTGTTTCTGTTAGACTTGGCACAAAACCGACTCAATGCGATGCATCTCGGCCGTCACCCGTCACCTCTCACCTACTCTAACCCATGCACTGCCCGCCTGCCTGGACCAGTATCGGTGCGCTCCCATCTGCTCTGGAACCTGAGATGAATGCCCGCCTTCTACCTGGGCACACTGCATTCACGGTCACCGGTCACCAGTCACCAGTCACCGGTGGGCGGTGGGCGGTGGGCAGGGCCTCCTCGTTTCACCCTGGGCTGCCTGGTAGTTGGGCTGGGTTTGTTTCCAACACGGCCAGGTACAATTGGCTTCCAGTTTTGTTTCAAAGTAGACGGGCAAGGCGGAAAGACAGACATGTCCAGGCAGAGAGCCTACTACCGGGGCATGGCTCCTGCTTCTAAGCTTTGACTTTGACTAAAAGCCCTCCAGGCCACTCCGAATTGTGGAGGTACCGTGCTGGTCCCACCGCGGCTGCCCCGCCCAACTGCATCAAAATTCGGCCTCATCCATCCTGTCACCCAACCCACCGTCCCACCACCACCGGGTAAACAAACGGCAGCACGAACCTTCCAGGGACCTTGAAAGCAGCGTAGAGCACAGAGGTCAGATTTCAGGTTGGAGTTCAGAGCAGAGACGACGTCCCACATCCCCTAGGAAGGCTGGAAAGGTCCCTGGTAAGGATTCAACTGACGCCGTTTCCTCTGCCCTCTCTGCTGTCCCTCCTCCGCAGGCAGGGGAAGACCACCCGAGATGCTTGATGACAGGGAGATTGAGGCCGCTGTTAATCAGCTGGCCGCCTACCGCAAGGACGACGCCTTGAACGACATCCTGAACCGCTATGAGGCGCTTCTGGGCGACTACAAACGCCTCAAGAGCGATTACGAAGAGGAGCGCGAGAACCGTGAGAAGTGGAAGCTTCAAGCCAAAGGACAAGAGCGCAACCCCTTCGTGCTGGTCCTTGTCGACGCCGATGGCTACGTGTTTGATGATGACTGTGGGTCTCGTCTTCACCCGCCCGCCCCCCCCCCCCCCGACCTCCAGGACCACAGTTGGCTGATCTCGGTTCACAGTGATTGCCGCCGGCCAAGAAGGCGGCGCCCGGGCTGCGAAGCTACTCAACGACACCATCAAGGTCTCCAAGAGGAGGAAGGGATTGGAGCATTGCGAGACCATGGTCCGTGTCTACGCCAATGTCGCCGGCCTGTCCAAAGCCCTCGCCAAGGCTAACCTCGCCGGGGCGGACAAACGCTCGCTGGCCCCTTTTATTGCCAACTTCAACAGGTCATATGGCCTGACCGATTTCGTCGACGCTGGAGAGTTTAAGGAGAACGCCGACTTCAAGCTTCGCGAGATGCTCAGGCTCTATGCCGAGAACGCCCAGTGCAAACACATCTATTTTGCCGCCTGCCACGACGCCGGCTATGTCTCGCAGCTCACCGCCTACCGAGGACATAGCGACCGCTTCACCCTCATCAGAACATCCGGCCTCCATTTCCATGACGAGTTCACAAAACTCGGCCTGGGCATTGAGGAGCTACCTGGCGTCTTCCGCGCAGCGGGCTCTGCGATGGATGCTTTCTACCCGAAGCCACTGCTTGGGAAGAACAATACAGCCCCGCAGTCGTCCAGGACCCAACCCGCCGAGTCGAGAGAAGTTTGTGCATTCCACTCGGTGGGCAGGTGCAAGTACGGAGAAACTTGCAAGAATCTGCATGTTGGCCCTGCACCCTCGCCTCTTGCTCTCAGGCCCTCTAAGCTGAGTCGCCCTTCCTGGCGAAATGGAAGTGACTCTTATGATGCATCATCCGACTACCCCCCACCAGCTAAACCACATGCCGCTTCCGGCCGAAACTACCAACAACAGTCCGATCTCTTCAGCCAACTGCCGAAGAGAGACGAGATCCCAGACGGCCAGGTTGCCGTCAACGCTTCACAGCAGCGTCTAGACGCGTACATCCCCGTGCCGACCTCGGAGTCCGAGCATCGCCTCAAGCTCAGGTCCTCGATGCAGCGCCTCTGCAACGCGAAACATCTAACCGGATATTGTCCCAACCCACACTCATGTGAATATGACCATAACCCGCTCGAAGCGGATCTCATCCCTACTCTCGAGTGGCTCGCCAGGTCATTGCCCTGCCCCCGACGAGACAAGTGCCGCAACGCATCTTGCACCTCCGGTCATATCTGCCAGAAGTCTGACTGCAAGTTTCGTGGCGGAAAGGGCTTCTGCAGGTTTCCCTGGAGTCTGCACTACGATGATCTTAAGGTTGATCGCTATGTGTACGCTATTTCGAACAAACAATCGGCCTCACAGCACGAGCGATCTGCCGCGCCTTCACCGTCCGAACAAAATAGAAATGAAGATGAAGGTGTCGACCAGGAGGAGGAGGAGGAGGACATATCAAGCCTTAACGGCGGTATATCAGTAGGCACATTGTGAGGCTGTCACAAAGGCCCAAGACAGGAAGAGTGTGATATGTCTAAATGATCAGGGCATAGCGTGTCGGATAATCCTTGACAGGTTATCCCGCAAAAATTGGACCACCTGAACCGACAATCATCATGAGCAACAGCTCTGGATACACACCAAGTATCCTGACAACTAATTCCTTGTAATCTTAAAAAGAAAGTTGGGGTCAGAAAGGAATTTGAAAAGAAGAGGGAGCAAGGGGGATATTGTACCTGGAAGTGAGGATCAGACACTCGCAGGGTGCAAGCATCTGAGTGAGGGGAGCGGATGGCCTGATGAAGAGATAATGGCTGAAGATCGAGTTCAATCTCTGGGTGGAAAAGGCCAAGGGCCCAGCACAGCAAATACGTCTACCAAAACTATCGAACCACAAATGACATCTGGAGGCAACTAGATGAGTTTGCTTTCAGATTTGATGGAAATGAACTACATGGCAGTACCTAGTCTTGTCATCACACTAAAAGAAGGAGGAGGAAGTCAGGGTTGTCAGATTTCCTGGAGGACTTTTTTCCCTTTTCTTTTATTTCTTTATGTCTTTCTTTTTTTTGTTGAAAAACAAAAAAGGCCAAGTAAGCGACGGTGGATGCTCTAGGGTAATGGGCCCAAGATTGTTCATCTATAACACCTGAACTTAGATGCTGAGGTGGCACAACATATGATGACGGGATGGGTTTCCCCAAGTTAAACGCAGTTTTCAGTCTGAGAACTAAATACCATCTGTCTGCTTTGTTCCGTTGCAGTAATCATATGAGACTTGCCGGACATCTGGAGGCTTAGGTGGATGACTATTCTGATCGCATCTTTGTTCCTAGCTGCTTGCAAAGCTACATATGTACTAATAGCACAGACATGCTTTGGATGTATACTGGTTAGGAACGAAATGACTGGCCTGGGTACCTGGGTAGGCAGTTGTTCAGTTTGGCCGCTTACTACAGTGTGAAATTGCTGCCACGTCCTTCCTTCAATACGTTGTCACTGAGATACCACTGCAATTTGAAAATTTTACAGACAGTCAGATCACAGCCACTAGATATTCCCTGCCCCTCGCTTGTTAGAAGCCATGCTGTAGGCTATCTATCTAGAGGTGCTCCTAAATAAGTTTGTCTTGGGGTGCTCCCCCATAGGAGTTTGTGAGGATGTCAATGGGAGTTTGATGGGGGGTGCCTAACTTCGAACTTTCTTCAAGACCAGGGACCACTAATTCGAGGGTGTGCACACCTCACTGCTTGCACCAAATTGATACTCCATAGACATATTGCTGTTTATTGGTAAGCATGGCAGAAAAGAATCCAAGTTGGAAGTATGGTTGCAAAAAATTGACATTCATGCAATCCACTTGTCACCATAAGACTACTTAGGTACCGAGGTACTTACCCAGGTAACAAGTGAAACGGACCACCCCCGATTCACCAGCAAGTTCAACCAGCCCTGGAGTTCATCAAGCCTGGAAAATATGCATTCCAACTACCTAGGTATTGGAACTTCAACTAAACTTGATTCAGCCTGCGCAGGACACTGCTGCTGGTCCTGCTCAAGACACTCACCGCAGCACCAAAGCGGGTGAAATAGAGCGTAGGGTGTCTGTCACCTTACCACACCACTCCATGCAACGGGCCTTACCTTTCTTCTCATCTCCTGCTCTTCTTTAGACCAACCCTTCCCGAGACGAACAAGAAACCGCTTTCAAGCAACATGAGCGACGCAGTTGCCAATGGTGGCGACGCCATTGCAGTGCAGCAGGTAAGCTCAGATCGAAACTACCCAGGCATTGCAACAACAATGGGCTTCGTAACTGACTTCCAATTAAGATGCAAGACACGTGTGGTCGAGCAAGCCTTTTCCGTTTGCCGCCTGAGCTGAGGCTTGTGATCTGGAAGTTTCTGCTGCCTGGCCGCAGAGTCTTCAGAGCGAGAAGCTGTGGCGCCCGCCTTGATCCGCGCCGCACTGACGACCGCCGATTCGTGTTTGGTTTCGACACCAAAGTCTCGCAGCCCATCCTCTCTCAGATATGCGCGGAATCTCGACAGTGCCTGCTCGACCATGGACAGCTCGTGTTCGGGCTGGGGGACGAGGCGGGGCTCTGGTGGGGTCCCCAGGATGTGCTGCTCTTCACCGGGGATTGGTGCCTGAAATGGTCCACGCCTTCTCTGCAAGGATTGAAGGGCCTTGATAGCATCAAGAACGTCGCACTCGATGCTACTCAGGCCCGATACATCTACTACGAATATGTGCTCCCCAAGGACGACGAGAACAGTGAATATGACAGCGAGCACAGCGACCAAGATCACGACGAAGAAGACGAAGAAGATGCCGAAGAAGATGCCGAGCCGATGAATTTTGAACCCTGGGCCCTTCAACCAGAAAGCATCACAGTCGGGTACCTAAGCTGCACCGGCAGGCCCCACTTTCTCGAGTACTTTACAGCTCTCAATGAGCTGACAATTGTCTTCAAGCCCGTAACTCTATTACCTACCACTGCAGGTTTCATGTGGCACGATACGGCTCCTGTGGAGTGGGGCACTATCTCTCAGTTCCTTGAAATGCCTTGGGACTACAGCTGGGCTACATTTGGTCGTGATTGCACCAATATGGACGACGCGGTTCTTGAAGTGGCCAGGCTCAGGCGCCTGTGGGTGTCTATCCGCAGGGTAAGTGACTGGTTCCACTTCGACTTCGACGACACGTTCAATGAAGACCGTGTCTTGTTCAACTTCTGCACCGACACACCACACACAGGGCTTACCTATGAGCCTACGCGGGTCACTTCATTTGACATGATCCGAGGCAGAGACTGGGCACTTTGAAAAGAAACAGAGCCTGCAGTTCAACATCTTCAACAGAGTCTCAAGGGCTGCTGATTGGAAAATTTGGCTCCCATTGGGGGCCGATGACTTGAAAATGTGCTCGAGGACAATAATTCTGGCAGTAGATGTGGCGCACATCTCTGAGGCTGATTGCAGAGGCAAGAGGCACTGGTATATTGAAACAACGGAGCCAAAGGATTCAACCACTTCGGCTTTTCTATTGCAGTAGCAATAGCTGTCATCTTTACTGTAACATCATTGTCAGCATGGATTAGACCCGACTGCAGCCACATGCCAGTGGATGGCCAGATGAAGGAACAAGGAAGGATAAAAAAGTTCAGAAGCAAGAGAGGCATCCTGGAAGCACACAGTTGTACGCTGAAAGAGTCAATGTTAAGAATACATGTCATTTTTCCCCCTCAAGACATGCTGGATTTTGGTGTTGTTGAAGGCCGCTTGGAAGATTCCCTTCAAGCTCTGAACAAAGCTGGACATGTCTTTCTTGTTGGCTGAAATGGCGTGCAAAGTCAGAGCTGAAGATGGAGGCGACATGATGTGAAGTCGAAAGCTACCTGGGTACACAGTACCTAGGCTGTGCTGTGGTAAGAGCAGACAGGGGACCCCTGTCCAAAGCGGAAAGGGCTTATCCTGGTACGGGAGCACAAGTGCCGCAGCTACAGTAGCTGGGTAGCGAGCGTGCTCATCAGTGGTCAGTCAGTCAGTGAGTTTGTTGCCCAACGCGGTGCTTTCGTTTCCACCTGGCCTGTGAATCACATACTCTTTACAGAACAGCAGCCCCACCCAACCAACCAGCCAACATCGGTTCTTGCATGTTTCAAATTGAGCTGTGTCGTACGGTATGTAACAACAACCATTTCTTGCCATTGCCATTGTCGACGGCGTGGATGGGCGTAACGGAGAGCAAGCAGTCCACGAAACTACACCTCGTGCGACGGCAACATCAGCCCCACCGCAGCACACTTATTACTACCTACCTGCCCAGGCTGTCACCTACTTGAGGTAGGTAGTGCATAGCATCCGCAGCCTCAGAGCCCGCCACCACCCTCCGTTGGGCATGCGCCTGTTATCCCCTCGGGCGGCCGCGGCTCGGCTGTCGAAACATCCCATCTACATTGCCCTGGCCCTGGTGGCCCTCGTCATCTTTCGAACATTCCTGCCGTCTCCTTCGTTCGGCCCTCCTCCGAGATATCTGTCGGCCCTCCGCAACATCGACTTCGTACCGTCCGCCTTCAACTGGACCTCAGCCGAGCTCTTCTTCCCGCCGACCCCTCCTCTCGCTGCCTTGCCTGCCGGCATTCCGAAATCCTTCCCTCACGTACAATACAATTTTGGCTCGAAAGGAGGTGATGAGAGCAACAAGGTCGCCGAGCGGCGCAGAAAGGCTGTCAGGGATGCCTTCGTTCGCTGCTGGTCCTCGTACAGAAAGGAGGCTTGGCTTTGGGACGAGCTGGAGCCCGTGTCCGGTGGCGGCAAGAACACCTTTGGCGGGTGGGCAGCCACTCTCGTCGATAGTCTTGACACCTTGTGGATAATGGGCCTATACGACGAGTTCCACGACGCTGCCAAAGCCGCTGCCAAGCTCGACTGGTCCAACACCACCGACAGCAGCGCAAACTTGTTTGAGACGACAATACGGCATCTGGGAGGTCTTCTCAGCGCCTACGACCTGAGTGGGACACCCGCCCTCCTGGAAAAGGCGAGAGAGCTCGGTGACATGCTCTATATGGGCTTTGATACTCCCAACCGCCTGCCAGGGTTCTGGCTCAACTTTGATGACGCCCGCAATGGTCGCCAGGTTGCTGGGACGCACGATCCGAGCGCTTCTCCGTCGTCTTTGGCACTCGAGTTTACGAGATTGGCCCAACTGACCGGGGACAATAAATACTACGACGCTATTGATCGAGTGCGCGCCTTCCTGGCTCGCACTCAAGATCAGTCTCAGATCCCCGGGATGTGGCCTACCGCCCTCAACTTCCAGCGCGAAGAAGTCATGTCTGACAACAGCTTCACTCTCGGCGCCCTGGCTGACAGCCTGTATGAGTACCTTCCAAAGATGTTTATTCTTACAGGGGGGCTGGAGCCATCCTATGAGCAAATGTATCGGAAGTCCATGGATGTAGTTATCAAGCACATTCTGTTCAGGCCGATGCTTCCCGACCAGGATGATATTTTATTTGCAGGCAACGCTCACGCGAGGCAAAACGGCATTGAATTGGACCCCGAAGGTCAGCATCTAGCTTGTTTTGTGGGCGGTATGTTCCTGCTGGGGGGCAGGACATTTGGTATTGAACCTCACATCCGGATTGGCGAGCGCGTCACGCGTGGGTGCACGTGGGGCTATGACGCGTTTCCAACCGGCCTTTTGCCCGAGCTTTTCGCTCTGATCCCTTGTCCCTCGCTGGCGCCTTGTGATTGGGATGAAGAGAAATGGTCCACGCAAGGCAACAAAGCACTCAAGAAGGGCTTCAAGCACGCACGGGATGCCCGATATATACTGCGGCCAGAGGCGATCGAGAGTGTCTTCATACTATATAGAGTCACCGGGCAGGAGGAGATCAGGGACATCGCATGGACAATGTTCCAAAGCATCATGCGCGCTACCGAAACTCCTTTGGCGAACTCTGCTATCAGGGATGTCACCGTGTCAGGGCCAACGGACAAGATGAACTCCATGGAGGTACGTGCTATCATGAGGTCAGGCCTGGATAACCTGTTCCCTAACAGTCATTCGCAGAGCTTTTGGACAGCCGAGACCCTGAAGTACTTTTACTTGATCTTCTCGCCGCCAGATGTCATCAGTCTAGACGAATACGTCTTCAACACTGAGGCTCACCCCCTCAGACGGCCTCGACCAGGACCTTGAATGACGGACCCCTGAGTCGCATCCCACGACAATTATATGGTATACCAGCTGGCAATGTTTTTCAACACCTGTGATGGAAATATCCAAGACTTGAGCTGAACAGACCATCTTACCGTCCAACTCATGCCCTTGCCCGACGCAATACCCGATCCTGTATGAGGGCATCTCCTGGTGTGCAGACCATCCTCCAATGACGAGCAAGCCCCAAACAGCCCCGTATCACAAGTCTGGGGAAGACGATATTACCTTGGCGCACAGAGACAAGGCGAGCCGTACAGTCTTCAACGAGCTGTCTCCTTGCCGCGCAAGGTCAGGTGTTCAGGTCCATGGACGCACTTGTGCTAGCGACAGTTTCGAAAATGCTACATCCCACATCGACCACAATTTCAGCTGCATCAGTAGCCTAGTCTAGGACTTCCCGGTGGGCGTCACTCGAAATCCGAGTATAACTTCTCCCATGACGAGGTCCGCTCTGGTCTCTTCTAGCTTTTTACCGAGACTGGCTGGCTCCTTCGGTACACTGCAAAGGAGCCCATCTTCCAAACGCACCCTATTTTTGAAGGTTTTGAAGACCCAAGCGCACATGGCCTGAGGTTTTGAGGACGCAAGAAACCCTGCTCATGCGAGGTGAGCAAAACTGGAGCTTTCAGTATTAGCATCACCTTGCTTTTTCTCAGCCGTTCCAGATTACCCCAGGGTACGTAGCCTCACTGCATCCGTGTCGATACGGCTTCGATGCTGGTATCTGGGACGATCCTTCGGGCTGCTGTATTGACAAATCCCTCCCCCTATGCGCGAGCACTGTCGGTTTCGGCCTGGGCAGACTTGCCAGGATACAATCCCCCGTCCTTGTGCCACACGTACTCTATCGGGCCGTTGGCCTCTAGCCCGCCGTCGCCCCCGCTCGCTTCCACTGTGGCTCCACTACCGCATGCTCGTCACGGTCGTCTAAATGTGCTGTCCCAAAACAGGTCTGGAATCTGGCCTTCTCAGGGCTGTCGTGCTTCCACTGGGCTGTCTTCCAGCCACGGAATTCCTCACATCGGCACCTCCACGTGTAGGGTCCTTGGTACGAAACTTCAAGAGAGTGGTCTGTTAACACAGTTCTTGTGTGCAGTCATCATTGATGTGGATTTCATGATAGTCGGCCTTGGACTGATGGAATCCGGAATACAGTAGTACTGGCAAATTAATTCAGCCCGTCGCGAATACAATGTCCATGCCCAAATTTAGATCCACACGTTGGGGCGAACAAATTAAGCACCCCGAAGGCTATGGACACGACCGAGTCCTTGCAGTACGGGAATGAAGCCCTTTCGACGCGTCAACACAAAATGCCTGAGCTGATCGATTCAAGGGACAGAAGGGTGGAGAAGGCGATTAGATCATTCGACATCGGGAGATACTAGAATATCTGGAGCTGAAGACAGGCTGTGGAAGTAGCCAGAGCTACATTGCTTTTCTACGGTGAGCAACAATAGAAATTGGGAAGCCGAATGGTGCACAAGACAGTACTAAATTGGATCATGGATGTATGTCAGACGTGCAGGCCTACTATTTAGCATGTCAGATTTGGCGGTACAGCCAGCATCTAAGCCGTATGTATGTATCACTTGCATTTTAGCATCGGCGCCCGGCCATTCCGGAGGCCGGCCTTGGAAATGACCGCAGAATGCGGCTCAAAGCTCCCTTCTAAAATCAATCACCTGTTGGCTCGGCCCTAGGATTCACGAGACAGGCCCCCTGCAAACATGCGACTCCCTGCAAACATACGCCCCAACTTGGCGCGCACATGCAACTAGGTCTCGGACAAGAGACAGCACCGGACCACTGACACGTTGACATGACTTATTACCTAGGTAGCTATCGGGCCTAGCTCGTTGGGCGCAGAATGGTGACGTATCGTTGGGATTAAAGCCCTTCACGACGTGCTTCTCGGCCTCGGCATTGGTACACCTCCGACGTCCGCCCCAGCACTGTGCGGCCTGGGACGGCCGATTCACCGACCGACCAGCAAGCATAATGGGTACCACAGATGTTTTATGGTGTTCATAAATGTTTCAAACTGCCCCGTAGTATGAGCAGATCGATTTAGACAACAGTGGTGCCTTATATCAACAGAATACGACAAACTACCGGTACCTAGAGATCAGCCAAGTCCCAGATCGTTCCTACAGCTGCCATTCACCATGACACAGCTGAAAGTTCTCATTGTCGGCGGCGGAATCACTGGCCCCGCTCTCGCCCATTGGCTCTCAAAGCTTGACTGCGATATCACTATCGTAGAGCGAGCGCCAGATCTGCGTGCTTCGGGTCAGCAGATAGACCTCCGAGGCGAGGGCGTGACCGTTATGCGTATGAGTAAGCATTGCCCATGTCCATTTCCGGGTCTCGTCTATCAAAAATTCATGTACTACGGAATGAAACACTTCGGGCTCCATACAAGGTGACTAATGTGTATCAGTGGGTATCGAGTCGGCTGTCAGAGCCAAGGTCGTCCAAGAGGATGGCAGCGAGTTCGTGGATAAGAATGGCCGCAGGTTGGCCTACTTTGGAGCCAACAAGACAGGCCAGGGAAAACAGAGCCTGACATCTGAGTTTGAAATCATGAGAGGCGACCTCGTACGCATCCTATACGACCTGACCAAGGACAAGTCTACGTACATATTTGGAAATTCGGTCGAAGAAATTGAGCAGACCGGTGACGGGGTGCACGTCAAATTCTCGGACGGTAGGGAAGACCACTTCGACTTGGTGGTTGGCGCGGACGGGCAGAGCTCCAGGACGCGGAGAAAAGCATGGGGCCCTGGTGCGAAGGATCCTTTCAACTTTCTGCAGCTCTATCTCGCCTACTTTACCGTACCTAAAGGCAAGCAGGATACCATGGTTGCGAAGATTTACAACATACCCGGTCGCCGCGTCATAGCCACTAGAGTCGACAACCCGAGGACTATGCAAGTCTATCTCGGGTATCTTGAAAAGGGCGGTCATGCGATGGAGGATGCGCTAAAGAGCGGCGATGTGAAGAAGCAGAAGCAGCTTTGGGCAGACATGTACAAGGATGCCGGTTGGGAAGCCCCGAGGCTAATAGATGGCATGCTTCACTCGCCTGAGGCGAACGACTTCTACTTCCAAAAGATTGGCCAAGTCAAGATGGACAAATGGTCTCGAGGTCGAGTTGTCCTTGTCGGTGACGCGGGCTATACACCTTCCCCCCTGACGGGAAAAGGCACCTCTCTTGGCCTCATCGGCGCCTATGTCCTCGGAGGCGAGCTTGCCAGGCACCTTGAGAGTTGCAAAGATGTTGGACAAGCAGTCGACGCGGCTCTCGAATCCTATGAGACAGTTCTTCGACCGTGCGTCGACAAGGCGCAGGAATTGTTCAGAGGCGTCCCCGCCATCGCGTATCCCGAAACAGAATGGGGGGTCTGGTTTCTTCAGCTTGTGGTGAAACTTGTCAGCATGTTACGTATCGACAAGCTCATCGAGCGCTTCTCGTCTGACAACTTCGCCGGAGATTGGAAGCTTCCAGATTATCCTGAATTGCAGCATTAACTTGGAAGAGTCCAATATGGTGTCTCTAGATGATTGATAGCCGAGAGTCATTCGAGACGAGAGCTACGATCATCGACATCGAGAGAAGGGACCAGGCATATGCATTTGTATTTTTAATAACCTTACTTTCCACTTAACCAGTCACTTATTAATCCAATTCTCCTTTATAAATGGGTAACACGGAGATTATTTGTGCAGATACTATCTATTATAGGGTTTAAAAGTCCGTCACGCGAGCCTTTGACAAAGCACCCATGGACGACTTCAGCGCGGTCAGACCATCCCCAAACCTTGCGCCTCTTGGAATGCCTGATTTCGAAGAGCCAACGCATCTAGCTTGGTACCCACGATGAAATTGCCGGTAGGAAGATCAATACCTATAATATATGTAGGTTAGGGTCCTAATTTGTCTTCCAACACTCAAAGCTTCCTCTTCCGAAGCTGTTGTCTATTCCAGCACACATTTAAACTGTAGTATGATCATCTATTGGTATACATAGAAGCGATGCCATGTGGATTTCCTCGTTGCTGGGGCGCCCGAAATCAACATGACGGCCCGCCGCGACGGTCCAGACTACCAATCACTTCAATGTTAGACAGCGACAACGTTTGTGCTGGCTCATGGTTTGTAAGTTTGTAGCCAGTGATTGATTCCACGCAGTATTTTGATTTATCTCACAAGCAGGAGTATTTGCGACGTGATCCGTGTGCACAGGCATGTTTGACACTCAAATATTAAACTGTTTGCTTAGGGCACAGCGATATTGGACATGGGAAACATGCAAGACACGCAGTTTCAAACGATCTCTCAGGCCTAGGTGAAACTCCGAGTCGAACTAGAAACACAATCGGCTTGACATTAGCGAAAAGAATGTTTGGCAGATACTCTTCTAGTCTCGGACTGGCTTTTCTCATGTCAGGATTGCATATGAGCGGTCCGCGGGCTTCATTTGCTTGCCATGCCCCTTTATCATTCTTAAATCATTAATTGTGATACTAATGATCATATTCTGAATTGATATGAAATCTGAGCGCCCGACTTGTGAACATCCAAGGCACCCGTAGATCTGCGATCATTTACACAGCTGAACTATTGCCGTTTACGACTATTCTGGAGCGTAGCATAGTCTACCGTCTCGAGAGAAGACTTTCCTCAAATGCCTGCAATACTGTCGAGAAGCTTTACCACATCTGACAGCAACGGTATTGAACCGGTCTGGATGGCCGTTGCCATACTCCTGCCACTCATCCTCTCGACCGTCATGCTGTGGTTATGTTGCAGGTGTTATCAGGCCGACCGAGAGTTTACGGCATGTGCAACAAAGATCCCTTGTTTACCCAGTATCATAGTGTCAGAAAATCTGGTGTTCAATGTATGCTGACATCTGATTATTTTTCAGGAGGAGGATCCGAGACAACAGCGATCATGTGGCAGCGTTGAGAGGTGGTAAAACGCACCGGCCAGCCTCTAAATTCACGCAAGATTTTCAAAATTCCTTGCTCAAAGACGCCATGCAACATAGCTTGTCAGCTTTTGAGAGTCCTGCTCAGGAACTCGTTGATCGATAAACAGAATCTGCCAGCATGGATGAATCTGCATCGGATTCTGAGATGGGTGTGGATCACACAGGCACGGAATAGGCGACAGTCTAGACGCAGGGATGACGGTTCTGAGAATAGGACACTACCGAAGTAGGTGGCTATGTATCTCCCGTTTACTGCACAAGATATTTAGAATCCAGCCCCTGGTGTTGATGGTGCCATGTTCAGGCATAACCGAGCCTCTGATCAGACACCAGTTTGACACCGCCCGCGCCTACATACTTGTTTATTCCCGAGAGCATGAGCTAAATCTTAAATCATGGCCGGGCACCGTGCAGTCCTACAACCAAGCCTCCGCGCAGCACTGCCTGTGACGGGTATGCATGCATATGTTCCAGATGTCTGTGTCATCTTCTACATATCATCTTCTAGTAGAGACCACACCACAATGATTGATAGCCAAGACGGTCTGATGAGGCTAGTGTATTATTGATTGACGTGTTTTTCTTCTTGGCTCTTCTATCTAGCTCTATGGACCGGTTGTCTACCATAGCAGAGAATATATTGAAGTACCTACTTAGGCAGAGTCATGATTCCGCCGCAGTGCAAGTACCAGCTGGCGCCACAAGGCAACCTGGCGGATCAACTCAGGTGGTTTCCATCCAGATTCTTCTTTGGGTTCTTTTTGGGGTTCTTTGCAGCCTTTGAGAATTCTGCGATTGCAGAGTCAAACTCAGCAGCAATCTTCTTCCCCAGATTCCTACCGATCCGCTTTCCGACTTTCGGCAGCTTGTCCACGATGGCTTCGATGAGGCTGTCTGACGCTGTCTTGGTCTCCTGGAGCCTGGCCTTCATAATTGAGGTGAGGCCAGCGTTGTCAAACTTCGGCTTGCTGCTGGTAATGGTGCCCAGTGAGGATTTTATCTCCTTCAGAAGCTGCTTTGTGGCCTTCTTGACCTTGAGTGCTTCTCCGACGCCCATTTTCTTGGACTTCTTGGCTGTCTCGGCACCATCCTTGATAGCTTTGATCAAAGAATCGGATGTGTCGTTGATGGGGAGCGCAGCGAGGACATCACCATTCCATTTCTGGACGACTGAAGCCATCTCTACCGTCAGCTTCTCCACATTTTGGATGCTGTTGACGACTTCAGGTGTGGGTTGGTCGTCCACCACATCGGCGTGAATGCCGAGTAGTAGGGGGAGCACAACGAGGAAGAAGTGTAAGAGGAGCATGATGTCTCGATTTTGGTGAACAGGATGGGGGACGATGTTAATGGTGTTGCAGAAGTGTGAAATGAAGAAAAGGGGAGCCGCCCGGGCGATCTCAGGGGATCTTCCCGGGTCGTTCACTTATTCAAATAGCCGAAGACGCCCGACAACATTGAAGTGCTGGCACCATTGATATATTACGTACGTAGCTGCTTGTTAGCAGCAACTTAGTAGCTGCCACAAGTCAGTATGATGCAGACTGTCGGGGGCGGGGTGCTAAGCAGCGCGAAGCCAGCGATCGACGAGACTTGTAACTCTTGACTGCCTGCCTAGGGACCTCCAGGGCTACTTTTACGTAGATGGGTATTAAATCGAGTTGTCCGGCCCGCGCGTTCATGTTCTAGGGTACTTAAGTAGCCAACACGAGTGATTTACGAGACGCTAATAAACCGTGTGTCATTCATCCATCTGGATCTTACCATGAGGCGGTGTTGACATGAGAGGTAAGTCAATATGTTTACAAACGGCGTGAAGCCGCGGTGATTAACTACATACCTACATACCTAGGTATACTTTAGTGTTGCCCTGGAGTTACTAGCCCAGATAAGTACAATGACCATTCAATGTTGGATATCTAGATGGTCTACTCTACGCAGTCCAGCTTCAGGAGTCGAAGTTTTCCTCTTTTAGAAGGAGAATCTACCCTAAATAGTACCTTATTAAACCTAATAAAGGAAAAGCTTCTTCTATTATAAACTAATATTATTTTAAAAAGAATATTTTCTTACTTAATTATATATTATTTAATATTTTAATAATATTTTTAATATTTATATTATTCTTATATTATTTTTATTACTTTTATTTTTATTACTTTTATTTTTATTACTTTTATTTTTATTACTTTTATTTTTATTACTTTTATTTTTATTACTTTTATTTTTATTACTTTTATTTTTATTACTTTTATTTTTATTACTTTTATTTTTATTACTTTTATTTTTATTACTTTTATTTTTATTACTTATATCTTTATAAAAATATATTCTTTTATTTTATTAATTTAATTTTATTAATAAAATAATCTTTATAACTTATAATAAAAATATAATTTATTTATAAAAATTATTAATTTAAAGTTATAATTATTTAAAATAATATATAAAAATAATAAAGTTATAATATAATATTATAAAAATATAAATATTTATTTAAATTAATAAAATAAATAAATATATAAATTTATTAATTAAATTTTATATATATTTAATTTATAATTAAATAAATTAATTTAATTTTTTAATTATTACTTTAAAATAACTTTAAAAATAAAAATAAAAATAAAAATAAAGAATTAAAATAAAAATAAAATAAAAATAAAAATAAAAATAAAGAATAAAAATAAAATAAAAATAAAAATAAGAAATAAAAATAAAAAATAAAAATAAAAAATAAAAATAAAAAATAAAAATAAGAAATAAAAATAAAAAATAAAAATAAAAAATAAAAATAAAAAATAAAAATAAAGAATAAAAATAAAAAATAAAAATAAAAAAGGCTTAAAGGTTATAAATAAAGAGGGGCTACTAGCTAGCTACTAGCTAAAAAGTAGTTAATAAATAGCTTAAAAACCTTTAGATAGAAACCTTTAATAAAGCCTACAACTACTATAAGGTAGGATACCTTTAAAATATATAAAGAAGTACCTAAATATAAAGTACTAATATAAGCTATAAATATTAATATTAATTTTTATACTTATTTAATAAATATAATACTAATATAGATTTATACTCTACTTAAATATAAGAAGTTACTATTAATATTTAAATTAATTATAAAAATTCTTTATTAATTTTAAAAATTCTTTATTATACGTTATAATTAATCTTTAAAAATATCTATTTATATACCTTCTAAATTACTCTACTTAGCTACCTTACTTATAGCCTTCTTACCTACTCTCCCTCTTTATCTCCCTCCTTATCTCCCTCCTTATCTCCCTCCTTATCTCCCTCCTTATCTCCCTTTTTATCTACCTTCTTCTTAACCTTCTTTTTATCTCCCTCCTTATCTACCTTTTTATTTTATTATTTTATTATTTTATTATTTTATTATTTTATTATTTTATTATTTTATTATTTTATTATTTTATTATTTTATTATTTTATTATTTTATTATTTTATTATTTTATTATTTTATTATTTTATTATTTTATTATTTTATTATTTTATTATTTTATTATTTTATTATTTTATTATTTTATTATTTTATTATTTTATTATTTTATTATTTTATTATTTTATTATTTTATTATTTTATTATTTTATTATTTTATTATTTTATTATTTTATTATTTTATTATTTTATTATTTTATTATTTTATTATTTTATTATTTTATTATTTTATTATTTTATTATTTTATTATTTTATTATTTTATTATTTTATTATTTTATTATTTTATTATTTTATTATTTTATTATTTTATTATTTTATTATTTTATTATTTTATTATTTTATTATTTTATTATTTTATTATTTTATTATTTTATTATTTTATTATTTTATTATTTTATTATTTTATTATTTTATTATTTTATTTATTATTTTATTATTTTATTATTTTATTATTTTATTATTTTATTATTTTATTATTTTATTATTTTATTTATTATTTTATTATTTTATTATTTTATTATTTTATTATTTTATTATTTTATTATTTTATTATTTTATTATTATTATTTTATTATTTTATTATTTTATTATTTTATTATTTTATTATTTTATTATTTTATTATTTTATTATTTTATTATTTTATTATTTTATTATTTTATTATTTATTTATTTATTTATTTATTTATTTATTTATTTATTTATTTATTTATTTATTTATTTATTTATTTTATTATTTATTTATTTATTTATTTATTTATTTATTTATTTATTTATTTATTTATTTATTTATTTACTTATTTATTTATAAAATAAAATATTAATAAATAAAATATTAATAAATAAAGTTAATATAATATAATATAATTAAATATAAAGTAATATATTAATAAGTTAAATATTAATTAAAAAAAGAAAGTTTATTTATATTAAATATTAATTAATTAAGTAAGTTAATTTTTTATTTATATATATTAATTTATTAAATTAATATATATTTTATAAATTATATTAAAATAATTAATAAATAAATAAATATATAAATAAATAAAATAAAAAATATTAAATTCCTTTATAAGTATTAATAAGTTATATATAAAGTATAAATAAATATAGGATTAGGTAAAAGCTTCTGTAAAAATAGGAAAACTTTGACTCCCGAAGCTGTAGACACCCCTTGCCCAAGTGGTTATGACACTGATTTCAGAAATAACCCCATCCGAAAGGGACAATTAGTCAGAGAGCCGTGGAACAGAGCCGCAGAGGCTGGCTACATGATTCTATGTTCTATGTACCTAGGTACGAACTATCAGCGATAGGTATGCCACTTGTCATTGATGGCCACTTGGCGTTTGGACGGAAGCAAAGGTCGCGGGCGGATGACGTTGACGGTCTGCACGGGGACATGTGGAGGCGAACAAAAAAAATACAAATAGCCCATTAAGAAGAAGACGTCGTCGTCAGTGCCAAGCTGTCAACCAGAGCTGTCAAGGGTAGCTGGGTACCTAGGTACCTAGCTAGCGGTCGATCCACTCGTGAGGTGCAAGCACCTGGGCAGAAGGACCGAGGGACACGATTGGGAAGGAGGTACGCTGGTACGGCAGGAGGTTGGCAAGGGTTGGAAGGAGCAGGAGGCAAGCAAGCAAGGACAAGGCCCCAAGGCTGAACCCCACTTCGCCCAGAGATAAGCTCCCTGCCCACTAGGCCTGCTAGGCCGGAAGCGGCTCGGGGTCATTCGACGACGTCTGAACCATGCAAGCCATGCAACCAACTACAGCCGTCGACTTCCTTTTTCGCAGACCATATCTCGAGCCCCACAGCTTCACCCGGGTACTTGGGTACCTAGGTGCCTAGGTACTTGGGTACTTGTCCTCCGGCCGGGCCAGTCGAGTGGTTCCTGCATGCACGCCCGTTGACGCGTGAATGTCACGCCGAGCCCAGACACCCAGACACCACCGACCTTGCTGTTGTGTAATATGCGAACGTCAACAAAGACTGGCAGAGGCGCAGTCCTTGAACCTTCGACGTCCCTCTGGGCCGGCGTGTGCCGGTCGTGGTTGGTCGGTCGGCCGCGAGATAACGAAGGATTTCCGGCACAACCCCCGGTCTCTTGAGCTGTCGGTCTCATTTCACACCGCGCGGCATCGACGAGACTGCGAGAGCAGCCACCCTGCCAATCCGGATCAGCTGCCCCTTTGCAGCCCAGCCAGGCCAGGCCGCATCGCTGGTGGGTGGCGTCAAGCCTTCCATCTCGTGGCTCGATAGCCCCGTGCTGACGGCTGGTGCGATGGTGGGTTGTATCCTCCATCTACGGAGTACATTTCACAGACATGCAGACATGTGCGTCCTCCGCATCGTTACGCCGTCAGCTTACGCGATGGCTTCCGATCTGGCGATCCGGCAGTGCACTGGGCCACTGGCATTGGCCAATCCGCCAGCAGCTCGACCTCGGGGTTGACAGCCGGCTCAGCGACTCCCTTCGACTCCCTTCGACTCACTTCACCTCGTCTTGCCGTCTTGCTCTGATCCCGGCCTCCTTGGTCAATTTCCGGCTGTCCTGCCTGTTGGTACACGTCTGCAGCGTGGCCCATGTCTCACTTCTGCCAGCTTCCTAGTCCGGCCCGCCCCAAGCACTCGCACTCGCGTCCACTTCAGCCGCCGGTCCTTTTACCCTGCATGGTTTCTGTTTCGCAAACATGCCATTCTGCTATTCTGCCGTTCTGTACCAGCCTGATGTCTCGTGCCGTCTCTGCCATGGCCATATCTTGTCCAGGTAAGCTGGCAAGTCATTCCCGTGGCCGGCTCCTTCGTCTTGTTACTATGTATGAGTCCTGATAAGCCAGCAAGCCATCCATGAAAAGGGCATGTGGGCCGCTTCACTAAACCCCGTCTGATCCGACGTGTCGGATCTTGACCCTGAACACCATTCGCAGAGCTGCTGGATCCCAGGTATGACAGGACCCGCCACGCTCAGGTGGGACATTGTCTATACACCACCACGCAGCCTGGACCTGTACGCATCCGTGGAGGGGACCCGCTGCTTATCGCTCCCCAGCCGTATGGCCGAGCGAGCAATGTGCTCCCTTCTCGAGGCGAGGCTCCCCACCCAGCTGGCAGGCCAGGCCAACAAAGGGCATCCCCTTCTCATTGGACCTCTGCTCCACTCATATCTGTGCCACATGGTCTGTCCAGGGTCCAGATGCTATACGGAGTACCGGGTACGCTGCACAAGGCAGACCGTCCAGGCCGTCCTCGAAATTGCCCTGCGCCGAGAGGACATCCCATCGGCTGCGCCAAGTCTGCGTGCGTCTTTGCCCGGGCCGCGCTGAGACCAATGTTCCGCTCTTCTATTTATCTACCTGCACACCCACTCCTGCGGTCTTCCCCAGGCCGCGGTCCTCTGTCTGTTCCTTTTCCTGTTGCGTTGCTGCTTCTTTTGTCGAGAGCCTGCAGCGTTTCTTTTTGTTTTTCTGCCTGTCAACCCTGCTTGGCACTGCTGTGAAAAGCAGCTACAGCTTTATTCAACACCCCGGGGCACGCACAAGCCGCCAAGATGTCGGCTGGACCTCTTGAGGAGTACACTGGTCTGGATGGTGTTGCCTACGAGGGAGGCGACTCGCTGGTAGACGACCTGAACGTTTACTATTCAGTAAGTTGTACCAGTGGCTTCCAATCTATTCGATCCCGCAATATTCCACCGGAGCATTAGACCTGACCGACTCTTGTCAATTAGTCAGGCGACTTCGCCTGGATCCTCACATCGGCAGCCCTGGTTCTGCTTATGATCCCTGGCGTGGGCTTTTTCTACAGCGGTCTTGCTCGTCGAAAGTCTGCACTCGCCTTGATATGGCTCTCCTTGATGAGTATAGCAGTCGTCGGGTTCCAGTGGTTCTTTTGGGGATACACCCTGGCCTTCAGTCACACCGGCAGTGCCTTCATCGGTGACATGTCCAACTTTGGCCTCATGAAAGTCTTGGGCCAGCCCAGCGTGGGAAGCAGCAAGATCCCCGACTTGCTATTTTGTCTGTACCAGGGCATGTTCGCTGCCATCACGTACGTAACTTGGGCCCTCTGGTATCATCACTTGGAACGTTGGGAAAGCTGACAACCCTTTTCAACAGACCCGCCCTCGCCATCGGTGCTGCAGCCGATCGTGGCCGAATGCTCCCTGCTCTCGTCTTCATCTTCATCTGGTCAACCATCGTCTATGACCCTATCGCTTACTGGACCTGGAACCCCAATGGCTGGTCCTTGAACCTCGGCGGTCTCGACTTTGCCGGTGGCACGCCTGTGCACATTTCCTCAGGCGCTGCCGCTCTTGCCTACTCCCTCATGCTCGGCCGGCGGACTGGCTACGACAAGACACACGGCCTACCGTACCGCCCGCACAACGTCACCCATGTTGTTCTTGGGACGGTATTCCTATGGGTCGGCTGGTTCGGATTCAACGGTGGTAGCGCTCTTGGTGCGAACCTGCGTGCAGTCTTGGCCTGTGTCGTGACCCACATCGCCGCTTGTGTGGGTGGCTTTACCTGGTGTCTGATGGACTACCGCCTCGAGAAGAAATGGAGCACTGTCGGGTTCTGTAGTGGTGTCATTGCCGGCCTGGTAGCCATCACGCCGGCCGCTGGATTCGTACCAACCTGGGCAGCTGTCATTTATGGAGTCGTCGGTGGTATTGCGTGCAACTTGGCCACCAAGATCAAGTTCTGGGTTGGCATCGACGACGCTCTCGATGTGTTTGCCGAGCACGGTGTTGGCGGTATTGTTGGAAATCTCCTGACCGGCCTCTTTGCTGCGTAAGCGCCTCTCCTCCCCCCACCCCCCGGCAGGTGACTGCCTCACTATGCTTGCTACAAGTGGCTGACTGACTCCTTACTAGCGACTATATCGCTCACCTTGACGGTGCCACTGAGATCGATGGCGGCTGGCTCAACCACAACTACATCCAGCTGGCCATTCAGCTTGCTGACTGTGTCGCCGGATTCGCGTGGTCCTTCGTTGTCACCTGTATCATCCTGTTTGTCATGAACCTGATCCCTGGCCTGAGCCTTCGCGCCTCGGTCGAGGAGGAGGAGTTGGGGCTAGACGATGCGCAACTCGGTGAGTTCGCTTATGACTACGTCGAGCTGAGCCGCACGATGAACGATGTGCTCGGGGGCTCGACCGAGGGGCATGCTTCCAGCCGGGGAAGTCTCAAGAATGCACCAGTCACTCCTCCCCCTGCCAAGAACGAACACTCCGAGAAGATGGTATAAAGGTGAGGTACAGACCGAGACTCAGCTGGGGTGGACGACTACTCAAAAAAGGAGAGAATGCGTTCGTGAGGATACTTGTCAGCCTGTTTGGCAAGTACGAAGTTCTTGATACCAAGTTATCTCTGTACTTATTCTTATTCTTATTCTTATTGTAATCAAATCACATGCCTTGGGTAGGCCATGTATGGGGGCATATGCACCTAGACCTGGCCACCTGCACCCAATTCATCACCGAAATTCAGTTACAAAGTTCATACTACGTGACCCCGAGCTCCTCTCACCGGCATGTCGTGAATTTGAGGCACATTGTGATGCCAGCGTGTCTCTTCGTAGAGAATCTCTTTAGCTGAAGGATACCAAGCGTTTCTCGCTGCCATCTTGCGCCAGGTGATACACCCGACGAAGGCTCCAATATATCACAACATGAGAAGTCTAGCTACCAATCCTTGGTCAACTCTTATGCCGTAACAGACAAGTTGCCAAAGCTTGTGTTTCCATTTGACGACTCACCATATAACAGAGCCTGTGAGATAATTTATTAGAGATCATGAATCCTTCTGTGCGTGTGCTTCGCTTTTAGAGTCGTTGACCGCTCATCCAAGCACCAAAGGCCCTCTGAGAAGCCTTGGGGGAAGACTAGGAGTGGCATCCCCATTCATACACAGTAGCTACATAGGTATATCTATTTAACCAGCAGGATTACTTTGAGGTGCAATGGATCTTACAAAACTGAGCAAGGCTAGCCAGGAAGCGTCAACTGGTGAGATTGCCTTACATCTAATGGCTTTGTTTTATTTTATAGAGAACGGAAATTTGCACACCTAAAATTGGAAGGTGTGCACCTATCTACTTACTAAGAAGTACTCTATATAAGATGACCTCTTGAAAGGGCCGGCTGGGGTGAAGGGGGTGAGCCCTAGAGTGTAAAGTATAGTGAAGGGCTGTGAGTAGGGCTGGTAGGTACGACCTGAGTTCTTAGAGGACTAACCAGCCCTGTTTATAGTTCCTTAATTGTAAAGAAGGCTTATTTATTGAAGTTATAAGGACTTTAAGGTTTTATACTCTAATTAGCTGAATAGTAGGGAGGGTGTATGCCTTCCGATTATAGATACGCGAATTTCCGTTCTTATTTTATATAGTGGAAGAAATTCTTAAAATATCTTTATTACACTACTAGAAATACAAGGTCTGTCTTTCCTTTCTGATAACAGTCTAGTTATAGTGTTTTATGATACCACATAGTAACTGTACATGCCAAGTTGGAGCCCCGCCAGGATACCCTGTGGGACCAGTTGACACATTGCGTGTTGTCTTTAAGAAAACCTTTACAGTTAAATATTCGTAGTATCACTCATCAAGTCCTGACTGGAGGCAAGCAGCTCAAAGGCGGTGACAGCCATCTATTTCCTCAAAGTGTCGAGACTGTGTTCTTCATAACACAATCGGGCCCTGACCGTACACCTCATATCGGGTTCAGTGTCTCGATTGATCACGGCGAGCTTGAAAGCCCGCACACAGGAGCTCACTTTGAAGTCCAGACCGAAACCAAACCCACCAAGAGCTACAAGTTGAGGTTTGTCGCACAGTCAAGAAGAGTCAAGAAGGCTAACCTCAAGGTTGGCAGGCTTCCAGGTCACAGTTCCGACAGCGATGAGTCCGAAACTACTGCGTCTTGACTCGTTGACACGAAGAAAAACAGTACGTTTCGTCTCAGAGCTCCTGTGTGATTTTCCAGCTTACCAATACGTTCAAAGTCGCTCTCAATATCACTTTGATCCATGCCAAATTTGAGCTGGTGACCTATCCACCAACTGTCGCTGAGGGACCCAACTATGACATCGTTCACAACGATGAGCCTTTCGATGATGGAACCACTGTATCAAAGATCTTATCCTCATCTTCCATCATTGCATACGTTCCCAGGACCTACCACGAGCCCATCAAGAATGCTCTCAGCCGCGGAAAGGCGAACTACATCGTCGAGGAGGATATTTAATTTTATATAATAGAATTAGAAATTATTAGCACCTTAAGAACTTGCTTAATGCCACGGAAAACTCACCTTAGCTAACTCCTAAAAAGAATATAGATGAAGAGGAGAGACTTTAGGCCGAGGTGGATGCAGCTATTACTAAACTGAAGAAATACTAGGCGTCGAAGGCTAAACTCCCTTACCTAGAACGGAGCGACGACCACGATCTGTTGCAGCTCCATGAAGCGAACTCTGTGGAAGCCGACTATAGCCCAGTCGGAGGCTATGAATTTTAAATTTCGATAAAGAAAAGGGGGGAACTCGGCGCGGCGGGAATAAAATAGACATAGAATTAAGGCGCTGCAAGCGCTGCAATGTAGATATAACTTTTTTATAATATTTTAATTAATAATATTATTAAAATAATACTTTTTAATTTAATTTATTTATTATAAAATTAAAATTATAAATATTTATTATATTATAATTATTATTATTAATATTATATTTTTTTAAAATATTAAATTTTAAATATTTATTATTATATAAAAATATTATATATATTTTTAAATATATATAAAATAAAAATAAAATTATATATAAACTTTAAATAATAATTATTTTAAAAGTTTAACTTTATAAAAATATTTATAAGAATTATAAATATATTTTATATATATATTTAAAATAAATATTAAGAAAGTTATATAAAAAAACTACTTTTTTAATCAATCTTTAAAAATTTTAATAGGGGTAATTTTATAGGGGGGGGGCTCTGCTTCGTTTTTCCGAGACAGTGGCTCCCTATCCTCCCCTACATCCTTCCATTAAGACTTCATGATTGGTAAAGCCAAGTGCAAGCAAGAGCTAAGTCCATCCATACCCACCCACTTCATTTATCGCATGCATCCAGCCAGTAAGCATTGCCTAACACTTTAATTCGGCCAATCCCTAGGTGCTAATAGTTTGTTAGTTAGTATAATTAAGGTCTATGATGTTGCGACCTAATAGTATAGGTAATGTTTATAATAGAGAACGGATATTCGCACCTATAAAAACGGATAGTACACTCGCTTATACCCTTTTTAAACTTTTTTTAAAGTTATTTATTAATATATAATAATATAAAATATTCTTTTATTTAATTCTATTCTTTAAGTATTTATATATATAAAATTAAAGTTAATAAAAATTATATTTATATTTATATTCTTATTTTTAATTAATAAATAATTATTATTTATTAAATTATAAGTTAGTTTCTAATAAAGTTATAAGAATATAAAAAATATAATTAAATACTTTATTTTTTATACTATAGTTTAATACTACTTTTTATACTTAGAAAAATTTCTATTTAAAATTAAAGGAAAAGTTAAAATATAACTCTTTTATAAAATTTAAGATTTACTATTATTTATAAAATATTAATTTTATAATAATAATTATAAAGTTAAATTTTATATTATTATAAAATAGAATTTAAAGGGTATTTAATATATATATTTTATATATTATTTATATTAGCTAGGTTTATATATATATAAGTAAAAAAATAATATTAAAAGTAATTAATTATTAGTAACTAACTATTAAGGGTTACTTAAAAGGTTTATATAAGTAAATATTTTTATTAATTAAATCTAATAAAAGACTATTATAACTATTATATTAGTAACTTTTTTATTATAAAAATAAAATATTTTAAATATAAATTAAATTTAAAACTTTTAAGTTATTAAAATAAATATAAAAAAATTATTTTATTATATTATTAAAAGTATTTAATTTATATATTTATTATAATTTTATATTTTTATAAAATTAAAATAAATATATTAATTTACTTATAAAAGTCTTTAATTATTATAAAATAAATACTTTAAAATTATTAATTTAAATACTTAAATAATTTATTTAATATATATATATAAATTTATATTTTATTATTATTAACTTAATAAATTTAAAGTTAAATTAAATTAAATATTTTATAGTATATTAATAAATTTAACTTAACTTAAAAATTAATAAAATTAATATATATTAAAAAAATTATAAAAATAAGTTTTATTTTAAAATAGGTTATACTTTTTATTATTAAAAGAATATAAATATTATAATTAAAAAATAACTTAAAAATTAATTTAAAAAATTTAAAATATTAAAAATATAGTTTTTAAATTATTTAAAAGTAAAGTAACTTTTATAATATAATTTTTAATATTAATATTTATTATAAAATTAATAATATAAATTTAAGTTTAAAAGATTTAAAGTTAAATAAAATAGTTTAAAAGTTTTATTTTAATTTAATATTTAAAAATTATTTTATTAATTTAACTTTTTACTTTTAATAGTATTATATATTATATTATAAAATTAATTAAAAATTATAATTTTATAATTATATTAACTTTTAATAAATTTTTATTTTTAATATAAGTTAACTATTTTAATTTATTAAATTTAAGTTAAAATAAATTTTTATAATTTATATATCTTTTAATTTAAAAGTTAGTTTATTATAAAATATAAGTTTTTAAGTAATTTATTAAAATTTATTTTAATAAATATATTAATAGGATTATTATTATTATAAATTTAATAAACTTTATAAATCTTTTATTATTTATATAATTAATAGAATATTATTATATTAATTATTAAATATTTTTAATTATATTAAACTTAATAAAATATTTATATAAAAGAAAAGTTAGTATAAATAATTAATAGAATAATTAATAATTTTAAATAATTAATAATTTTATTTAAAATAATTAAAATTATATTATTTATATTAAATTTATTTACTATTTTATTAAATTTTAAAGTAAAAATATTTTTAATAATATATTTATATTTAATAAAATTAATAAATAATATTACTTTTAAGTTATTATTTTATATTTTAATTTTAATTTTATTAATAAATATAATTATAAAGTTAATTTATAAATTAAAATTATTATTATTAGTAAATAATTTATTAATAAAATTATTAATTTAATAATTTTAAGTTAAT